CTGGCATGCAGTGGCCGCTCCCGGCCACCGCAGCCTCGACCTGCTGGGCTCCGGTGATCCTTCCGCCTCAACCTTCCAAGTAGCCGGAATTACAGGCATGTACTACCACGCCCGGCTGATTTTTTTATTTATTATAGAGATGAGGTCTCACTGCCCAGGCAGGTCTCGAACCCGCGGGCTCAGGGAATCCATTCCCTTCAGCCTCCCAAAGGCACGGGATTACAGGCTGAGCCATCCAACCCGGCTGCAACACATATTTTTTCAGCCCTTCCACATGTCAGGTGCTGTTCTGGGCACTGGGACCACAGCAATAAACAAGACAATTACCTGTGCTCATGGAATCTATACTCTGGTAAAGCTGAGAAGATAATAAATGACAACATTCATTCATTGAATGAATAAAGTGTGTAAATTGCTTCAAGCACTTCATATGGTGTTTTGTCCCATATATAACAGATCCTCCCACCCTCTACTACTTTCTACCTATTGGAGGACAAATTGTATCACATGCTTGAATGGACCAGTAAGGGACCAGAGGACATGTTGAGTGACAGCTTCCAGTTCTACAGAAATGACTCTCTAAGATTTGAAGGTGGTCCTGAATACCAGAAAGTATAGAACAATATGTTGCCTCCACAGCAGGATACAGCCTCTGAGTCTTCCATTTTGGCTTCTGAAACCAAGATCCTAAACCCAGTACAATGACATTGCAGCAGTGACAGCAAAAGTTGAGATGGGGTTGAGAAGACATGGACAGTGTTAAAAATCCCAGCAGGGAGCCTCCAAGATGTTAGGTCATATCTGTCAGGGTGGGTTGTGTGATCCAGTGCAGCGTGAAAGATGCACAATTAGATTGGAAATTGCACAGCAGTTAGATTGGAAAATATAGTTTATTTAGAAAGTGAGAGAGAGAGAGAGAGAGAGAGAGAGAGGACATTCACCTCCCCCAGTTAGGGGAGGGGGCCAAAGCTACGAAAACACAGCGGCCACAACTCAAAGAGCATATGACCAGACCAGAGCTTAGCAGAGCAATGAGGAATGGGACAGGGGGAGACAGGGAGAGTGGGAGAAGGGGAGAGAGAGAAGCTAGGGGAGGGGGCCAAAGCTAAGAAAACATGGCCTGGCCATAGCTCAAAGAACACATGCCAACCCATAGCTTAGCAAGGTAATGGCAGACGGAGAGCGAGAGAGAAGGGGGTGGCAGGGAGGAGATTCACCTCTCCAAGGTAGGGGAATGGGTCAAAGCTTAGGAAACATGGCAGTGGCCGTAACTCGAAGAGCACATGGCCACACTGGAGTTTAGCAAAGCGATGGCCACTGCTGTGTGAAGTTGAGTGCCTTTTAACCCTTGCTTTTTATGGGGGCAGGTCATTAAGGTGATTGGGTGGTAGGCTTCTCCACGTTATCATGGAGGAAGGCAGGTAAGTACAGGTACTGACGTCAGGTGATGGATGGCAGGCAGATGGGTAGGCTGGTCATATGACTGCTGCCATGGTGATGGTGTCTGTGTGGACATGAAGGGTTGATTAGGTTAACTTGGGTTTTATTGGTGGAGGCAAATACTTGAAATAGAAAAGTTAATTAGTACACAACAAGCTGGAGAGGGCCTTGTACACCAATTGTCAATAGCTACCTCTGAGAAACTGGTTCTGTCCTTGGCTAGTGATTAGAGGATAAATTAAAGTGAACTGCCAGAGAAACATGACAGAACTAAGCAGTGTTAAAATGGCTGCTCATTGAGTATATTGCCTCCATGTTATGCCCCTTCAGGTAGTCCAGCAGGCAGATTGCTGGGACAGTGTCGTAACTTGCAGTGTGTGCTTGTTATGATCCGTTTCCTCCTCGGTAAAAGCACTACATTCCCTCTCAAGTGATAGACGTCTGGGATTATTTATTTGACTCTAAGCTGACTCTTAGAGATGAAAAGTGAAACACTGAGAGGGATCACCAAGGGTGAGCACGAGCAGCCCTGGGATAGAAGTCTGAGGTTCCTGAACATTCTAAGGGTGGGGAGAGGAAGAAAAGGCTGCCGAGGATGCTGAGAGGAGGTAACTATGGAGAAGGGGGTGGGCAAGAGAGGAGGGGCAGAAACTGGGGAAGAGGAGGTAGGAGCGGGAACACCACCGTCCAACGCTGGAGAGAGGACAAGGGGTGGAAGCCAGGGAGGTCCTGCTGGATTTAGGAAGTAGTGCACTGCTTCCATCATGGCCTTGGCTGCATCCAGGGACCAGTGGGCTGGGGAGCCTGTAGAGTACAAGGAAGAAGAGACGATGGACAGGAACATCATTCAAGACATTTGGCTGTGAAAAGCAAGAGACAGAGTAAGGATCCTTTAGACGGGGGAAGAGTGAAATGTTTACAGGGAAGGGTCGTTGGCACTGTTCTAGTCGACGAAGTTTTCTTCACAGGCCAAGGCAACATACAACACAGATTCACGAATAAGAACAGGGCTGTTTTGGAAGGGCTCCATGTAGCTACCGCAAAGGTCTTCAGGCCGGGATTCTTTCCGAAGTCTATACTGCCTTGGAAAGCTTTAATAAGGGAATCTGTTTCTAGATGAATATACACGTGGTTCTAAAATGGATCTGCCTGGTGATCCTGCCAGTGCTTCTTTCCTATTTCTTCTTTCATAAGTGCCCTTCTTCTATGTCACAAAAAAATTTCTGCATCTTAATGGGTTGTAAAAATATCTGGGAGCTCCAAACAGTTAGGCAAATTTGAAATAACGTGTGTTGCAACATCTTGGCTGGGGTGTGGTGGCTTATGTCTGTAATCCTAGCATTTTGAGAGGCTGAGGCGGGAGGATTGCTTGAGCCCAGGAGTTTGAGACTAGCCTGGGCAGCATTGCAAGAACTTGTCTCTAAAAAAATAATCAGCCAGGCATCGTGGCATATGCCTGTAGTTCTAGCTACTTGGGAGGCTAAGGTAGGATTGCCTGAGCCCAAGAGGTTGAGGCTATGGTGAGCTGTGATTGTACCACTGCACTTCAGCCTGGGTGACAGAGTGAGCCCGATTCAAAAAAAAAGGGAAAGCATGTGAATAAGCTTGGAGAATATGCTATCATCTCTGTATGGTAAAACACATATGCAATGATATTTATAACTACACAGAATATTTCTGGACAGACCAGTGCTAGTTAAAATAGGTTGCCTATAGTTAGAGGGAGGCTGGGAGAAAAGGAGAGGGTGTCTTTTTGGTATTGTCTCAAGTGCATATGTAACCTACTCAAAATTTGTTATTACTAACCCCGTTTCCCCAACAAAAAGTGTGTCTTGATATATTGTGGTACATCAACACTGAAAATGCTTTTTTTGTCAAGTTGACTAATTTCTAGAATATCCAGACTTAAGACTTGTTTTCTTGGTTATCACCTGAGAATGTTTTCTCTCTCGGTAGGAGATATGGGTTGTGTTACCATTTATTTATTTATTTATCTTTTTGAGTTGGAGTCTCACTCAGTCGTCCAGACTGGAGTGCAGTGGCCGCTCCCAGCCACCTCAACCTCGACCTGCTGGGCTCCGGTGATCTTTCCGCCTCAGCCTTCCAAGTAGCTGGAACTACAGGCGCGCGCTACCACACCCGGCTAATTTTTTTGATTTATTGTAGAGATGAGGTCTTGCCAAGTTTCCCAGGCAGGTCTCGAACCTGTGGGCACAGGCAATTCACTCACCTCGGCCTCCCAAAGTGCAGGATTACAGGCTGAGCCACCGAGCCCGGCCTTGTGTTACCATTTAAATGTATAATATTGAGCAAGTCAATCATGACTGATTCTTCATTTAAAAATGACTGTCTTAGAGATGACTTCCAAAAATCTCTTTCTGGGGTAAGAGGCTGTGGTTATATGATTCAATTATGCACATTAAAAAAAAATGCAACAAATAGGGAAAGACAATCTGGGTGCATGTCAGTGAATTTTGGTGAAGTGGCAGAAATAAATTGTATTTTATTTATTGTAAATAAATAAAATAATTTACACAACATATTTCATTCTTGGATCACACTTTGCAATCTGTCATTCATCTTTGAAGTATCCAAGGAAAACGAAAGAGGCATATTCAACTGAAGAAATTTATTTACTTTTTTTTTTCTAGGTACATAGATGACATAATTATAGACAAGTTTTGATACATAGGAAAACCCTTCTGTCCACCTCTTTTTTTGCTAAATGAATCAACACAATAATTTTTACAATTTTTAAAACAATACACAGCTTTCTTGGGCTGAAGCAATTGCAAGAACATATTGGTACTGGTATATTACAGCTACTTACAATGTTTAAGAACAGCAATGGAGAAAAATAAGTTATTTAAATATTGATTTCATATACAGAAAGTGCAATGTTGTTAGTTGTTATATAACTTGCTTGACAGTTTCTTTTCTCTATCAATTTAAAATCAAGATAACTTGGACTCGAACTATTATACTTTTTTTCTGAAAACAATACAGTACGCACATGCAGCAGTGACTTGGTGAGTTGACTGCTTTTGCTGCAGTTATAAAAGCAAATTTCTCTATGTCAGGAACTGATTTTCAATAGAATAGTAATTTTCAATTTCACCCACAGTTGGGTTCGGGACAGAGAAAAGGGCCTCTGACTAAGGCAAGGCCATGGAAAGATATCTGCTTCTTGGTTATCTGGGAATGTAAATAGTAGTAGTTGGAGCTGACTGTATTTCCTTCCAGACAGCTTTAAAGTAAAAATTATACACCATGTTATGTGTAGCTACCTGAGCCGAACTGCCTTTCCAGGTTTCTTTTGTGCTTTCCAAAGACAACAATTTTCACTGTTTCTCAAAATTCTGTACCAAATGCAACAGATTAAAACTGGATATTGCTGAAGCCTACCACCTGTTTTAACATCCACAGGCAGCCTCAAACCACCTCAGTCAAATGTCACACACAAACATTCAGGCTTTTCTCAGATCAAAGAAAAAGTTTAAAGCAGAAGATCAAACACTAAAGATATATATAAAAAAGTTTTTTTTAAACAACACAATAAAGTAAAATCAACCTCAGACCACTCAGATTAGACATTCCCACCGAAAATTATTCATGGTCCCTGAATTTGATTTTCTATGCAAAAGGCATTGATTTCCAAAGAATATGGTTTGGCATTCTCAAAAACTCCAGAAAGTTCCCTTTTCTGGTGCTACTTTGACTTAAATTAAAATCCTCCACAGAAAATGAACTAAAATGTGAAAATTCGTATGAGATTTCTCCTTCTCCTTTGCTACCTCCTACTTGACTTTTGTGTGGTCTTTTTGCTCAGCTTAAACAATGACAGGATGTGTCAGCAGGTCAAGCTGAGGCCTGACAAAAGCAGGAAGAAAAGTCGCTTACAGTACCCATCTCCACCACAGCACACGAAATACACGGAATGCTCCAGTTAGATGAGAACTCTGCAGCCTCAGTGCATTGTAAACGGGCTAGGCCACAACCCAAGGGGACAAAAATGAGCTGTTTTTAAGAGTTCAATAGAAATTTGGCAGCTTTATCTTTTTATGCCACATTTCCACAACCTCTTCACATGGCATCTTATAGAAGGTGAATGTTATTAAAGAAACATACATTATTTTAAAAAACGCATACCAAAGCATGAAAAAAATACATCACCTGAGAACATCCTTTTCCTCAGAAACCTGGATTCAGATAAAAAGAATACGATAAAGATGGCTTTGTAATTCATGAACCACCCTCCCACCTGAGGGAAATCATTTGTTGATAAGTAGATGAAACATAACAGAACTTTTGATCAAGTCCTTGTGGTCAAAGTGTTTCTATTATAAATGAGTACATTTGATGCTTAAAACAGTGCTCACAATAAGAATGTAAGCAACAGAAACCTTAAGAGTTTAATTGTTTAAAATTGCTGTTTGCTAGAAAAATCAGACACTAGACTAAAGAGAATAGAATATGCTGAAATCAGTGAGAAAACAAGTACTTAACACATGGCTAATGTGGTTTGTCTGGCTTCATAACAAGCCTTTATTTGAGCTAAAAAAAAAAATTAAGAAAAGAAAGATAATATCTGAATAGAACACCAAAAAGACCTTTGAACATCTTACAAATGACTTCCCTTTTTAAAAACATCTTTCTGAAAAAATATTCAACCTTACAACAACCTTTCACTAAGGTAAGCAGTTAGCTGAGGACTGAATTTTGGAACGGACATGGTCAGGATTCCAAGTCAATACTGCAGCACAGTGACCAGCAACGGTAACGAATTAAAATGGAGGACAGTTATTATGAACACACACACGCCACACACCACACACACGCGGTATCTTTGAGAATTTCAGATAGCTTTTTACAAGATTTGTAGTTAGTTCAAAAACCAAAAACATGAAGTGTGTGCCTGATGAATACCTCTACAAAACAAGCCATGTTACAATGAGACGATTAGAAAAGCCCATTTTTGCTGAAAACATCCTAGATAGGTTAGGTGGCAGTCTAAGCTGAAGATTTGGAACTATGGTTACAGGGTTGTGGACACTAGTTAGATAACTGCTTAAACGCTTATATTAAGGCAAATAAAAGCTGATTGCTAGAAAGCAATTATTAAAATGTCTCTTGTTTATCTAAAGGAGAATAGGACTTTTTTTTTTTTTTCCTGGTGCAGCCAGATGTTCTAACCTTTGAACAAATGAGCATGGTCAATAGTGTACAATAATTCCCGAGACAGCTCCTTTGGCCTAGCTAAGCCTGTCTGACAGAAGGTCAAGGACACTATCAACAACGGGATAGGCTGCCCCCCTACTCATTCCAGCCTCTGCCAGTGCACAGAGACAGACTAGAGACACAGCCTTTGCAGCCAGTTGGCATCTTGGCGCTTCTGGGTTCTGAAAATAAAAATAAGTGCTTGTCTTTTCTTTGGAGGTCAAAGAGAACTGCACTGATTTCCTTGAGGGAGCTCTTCTGGAGGAGCAGGTTCTCAGTCCTGTGCCAAGTTTCGTGCTCTGTTTGGCCACACACTGGGCCTTTCTTCTGGATCTGGTCTGCATGTCCAGGGATGGAGGAATTGCGACAGCATCGTAAGCACAGTGAAAAGGTGGCTCTTGTCCAGAGAGGTCCATTTCCGGCCTGGCTACATGGCCTCAGGGTCTGGCGGCAGTTTGAAGAGTCTGGCTGCAGATAGGAGCTTTGTTATGTGTCTCTCCTCTGTGATGCCGGCCTCCTGAAGGCAAGTGTGGGACAGAGAAGGCACTTGGCTCAGTGTGCTGAACCCCGCTGCAGAGAAGATACTGGTGTACATGGGCAGACCGATGGAAATGAGCCAATCTGACACAGACAAAATGCATCCTGGAGAGACGGGTTTCCTGCAGATTTCCGTGAGTCCTCCACTTGGGATCTGGATGAATAAAAAAGGCAATATTATAGGAACTCCACATGTGTCACTGGAGGTCCACTTCATATATGCCTAAAAGGAATAGCACTGAGATACTGCATTGCTAGATTATTACCAGAAAGTGATAATGCAAAGTGATGTTAAAGATCAAGATTAGCATGAAGGATTCTTCTCCAGGATGAAACAAGCCGGGTGGCAGTGGCTCTCGCCTGTAATCCCAGCACCTTGGGAGGTCGAGACAGGGGATTGCCTGAGCCCAGGAGTTCGAGACTAGCCTAGGTAACATAGTGAGACCTCATCTCTACAAAAAATTACAGAATTAGCCAGGAGTGGTGGAACATGCCTGCAGTCCCAGCTACTTGGGAGGCTGAAGTGGAAGGATCGCCTGAGCCCAGAAGGACCAGGCTGTGGTGAACCAGGATGGTGCCACTACACTCCAGCCTGGGTGACAGTGCAAGATCTTGACTCAAAAAAAAAAAAAAGATGAAACAAATCTTCAAGGATGGATCTTGACGGTTCTAGGAGGTTTTTGAAATTTTTTGTCTCACTGTGATAGTCTCTTTGATGAGCCCTAAGATGACTGAACAGACAAATCTGTTTGATAGCATGGGGCATGATTCTCAATGGGGAGGGTTTTTATAAAGTAGATTTTTCACTGTATTTTTAATGTATATTAACAGCTAGAAATCTAAATATTTAATCAATACAATTATTTAAGGAATTTAAAATACAATAATATCAAGTGCTGATTAGGACAGGAAAGGAGATGTCTAAACTTGACTACTGGGTATATAATGGGCTACACCATTCAGAAAGGTGACTTGCTAGCAAGTGTGAAGATCCTTGAGATTTTTGTACAGTCTTGATGAAGCAAACTCTCTTTAAGGAATATATCCTTGGAAATTAACCTTGGACATATACAAATATTTATTAACAAGGATGTTCTTCACTACAATATTTAAAATAAAAGATTGGAAAAATCTGAATGTTTCAGCCATATGACACTGGCTACGTAGGCCGTTTGCATAGTATAACACTTTAATTTTTATTTTATTGTAAGGATGTGGGGTTTAACTCAGGATTAGGTATACAAGTAGACATCATACAGGTGAAGTTTGGGCTTCCCTTTGGTCCCCACTTTGCCTGGCTTGAGAACAGGTACCTTTATTGATGTGTTCCCCACCCCCACCCTGGCAGTATCTCGCTACTGCCAATGAATACTTTGAACCAAAGTAGTCCTCCCTTATTCAGGGCTCCACTTTCCATGATTATTAAAGTAAAAATTTCAGAAGTCAACAATTCATAAGTTTCCACCATATACCGTTCTGAGCAACAATGATGAAATCTCAGGATGTGAATCCTCCTTCCGTTCACACTGCCCTTCCCCTTAGTCACTGAGTAGCCCTCTCGGTTATCAGATTGAGCGTCATAGTACAGTAGTGCTTGTGTTCAAGTCCCCCTTATTTTACTTCATAATGGCCCCAAAGCACAGGAGTACTGATGCTGGCAATGTGGACATGTCAAAGAGAAGCTGTCAAGTGCTTCCTTTAAGCGAAAAGGTCAAAGTTAATAAGGAAAGAAAAAAAATTGTATGCTGGGGTTGCTAAAATCTACAGAAAAAACAAATCTTCTATCCATGTAACTGTAGAGAAGGGACAAGAAATTTGTGCATGGTATATAAAGGGTTCAGCACTATCATCCAAGCGTTCAAAGAATCCAATGGGGGTCTTGGAATGTATCTCCTGAGGACAAGACAGAACTACTGTATTGATAATATAGAAGAATTTTTTAGTAACAGAGAAGCATTTTCATGATCTGATACCAAGAACTGGGTATTTCAATACTGTATATTTACTACTATACATGTGCAGAGAAATGAAAAGTATTTCTCAAGTAATGGACAAGTAAAAATTGTATATACGTAGTTATAACACATAATATGATGTTTTGATAAATGTATACATTGTGGAATGGCTAAATCAAGTTATTTAACATATGTTTTACCACACATACTTTATCAATTTTTTTCTGTGGTGAAAACACTTAAGATCTGTCTTAGCGATTTTCAAGTATACAATATATTGCTATTAATGGTAGTTACCATGTTGTAAAATAGATCTCTCTCTTTTTTTTTTTGAGTTGGAGTCTCACTCTGTCGCCCAGACTGGAGTGCAGTGGTCGCTCCTGGCCACCGCAGCCTCGACCTGCTGGGCTCCAGTGATCCTTCCGCCTCAGCCTTCCAAGTAGCTGGAACTACAGGCATGCGCTACCACAGCCGGCTAATTTTTTTGATTTATTGTAGAGATGAGGTCTCGCCAAGTTGCCTGGGCGGGTCTCGAACCCGCGGGCTCAGGCAATCTACTCACCTCAGCCTCCCAAGTCACGGGATTACAGGCTGAGTCATCGAGCCTGGCTAGATCTCTTGAACTTACTTATCTAACTGAAAATTTGTATCGTTTAGACAGATTTTTAAAAACATTAAAGAGATATGGTCTTGTTATGTTGCCCAGGCTGGACTTGATCTCCTGGGCTCAGACGATCCTACCTCTTTGGCCTCCTGAGTAGCTGGGACTATAGGTGTGTACCACCATACCCAGCACTGGATAGATTTTTTTTTAAAAAGTTTTTCACAGTGCTGGAATTATGGATAATTTTCTTTTTTCTTTTTGAAACTGTGTTTTAAAAAAATGTCTAGGCTGACCGTAAACTTTCTCTGCAAATATCTGTTTTCTATAGCTATAATGAGCCCTTGCTACTTGGCAGCTGTCAGCATGCTTATTATTACGCACTACAGCTCAATGGACTTCAGAAACTTGGACAAGTTGGCCAGGTGTGGTGGCTCACTTTGGGAAGCTGAGGCAGGAGGACTGCTTGAGCCCAGGAGTTTGAGACCACCCAGGGCAACACAGTGAGACCTTGTCTCTACAGAAAAAAAATATTAGCTGGGTGTGGTAGCACATGCCTGTAGTCCCAGCTACTCGGGAGGCTGAGGCAGAAAGATCACCTGAGCCCAGGAGGTTGAGGCTGCGATATGCCATGATTGTGCCACTGAACTCCAGCTGGGTGACAGAGTGACACTCTGACTCAAAAAAAAAAATAGAAGAAAAGGACAGAAAAGAAAAGAGAGCTGGGGAAGTGCGTGCTGCTTACCGCCATGCGGTGCTGCTTCCGAAGCAGCTTCACACGGATCTGGTCCATGTTGGTGGCGACGTCCCTCTCGGGTTGACCCAAGTCCTCTGCGTATCTCTGCACCAGGGCTTCAGGAATGCCACAGCGGCCATGCTGCCGGGGGAGAACAGAAATGTGGTATCAAGGCTTGCAAGGACTTATTTTTCTTGCTCTAAGATACACCAAATATAAACTAGGATACGATACTAAACATTATCACCAAAAGTTTTAACCTGAAATGAATATATATCCTTTATTGTCAGTATAATGCTTTAGGGGAAATACTTGGACATCTTTTTATTCCAAGGACTGATGAGCTCTAGGAAAATATTTTGAAACATAATGAAGGTAGAATATTCTGCATCTTTTGGATCAATACCTTCACCTCACTCGACCTGATCATTTTGTAGAATACGATTCCTCTGATGTTATGGAAGACAGGAGAATGGACACACTTCTCTCTATATAGTCTACTGCACTTCATCTATGGCGAGTTATATCACCATTTCATGAGGCCAAAATTTACTATAGAGTAGAATTCTCACTTTTTATTTAAAAAGGTTTATTTACAAAATATCAAGAAGAGGAAGGGAGAAAGAGGAGGATCTTATTCCAAGGTATTCATAGTCATAAGAATTTTATAATGAAGACTCTCTGGAATGCATTGTAACAAAACCTATGTTTCCAGGAGTAAAGTACTGCCTGACCTGTTATCAGTGATTTGTCTTCAACAAAGATTTGGTATTGGTAAATCTTTCTTTACAAATGAGTAATAATTTTCTGTTATAGATCTAAATGTTTTTGGTACAATGAAGGTATTTTATAATACCTCCCGCCCATTACCTATACAGATACCTATAATTATTACATCTGAATAGGGCTCTATAATTTTCAAAGTATGTTCACATGTGCTTTATTTGTTTCTAATAATCCCTCTAAGAAATATCTAAGCAGGCTATTTGTAGTCCCAGCCTACATATAGGGAAATGAAGTGGGGAGATACCAATGTCTGAACATACATGGGTTGAAAAGATGGGGACGCTTGCCTTACTTGGTTTCTCCTGTCCACTAAACCATGTTTTCCAGAAACCATTTCTGGTACTGCTCACTCTTCCTATATAGTATGGCTGCCAAAAATTAAAAGCAAACAAGCCAAAGGAAAGCAAACTCTGGGGGCTGTATTTGCATTTAATCTGGAGACTCTACATCATTTATTGAAACTTGGTGGGCAGAACCTGTTGGTTGGGGATCATTCTTCACTCTTGGAATGGCCCGTGCTACTGGGCCAGCCTCAAGGACAGCTGTGGGGTTCATCTCCCCTGGCTGCCTGACTTACAAAGACAAAGGCCTGTGAACGTGGGGCCAAGGCTTCTGATACCTTATCAGAATATGGTTCTTCCGTGAGATCAATGCCTTCAGTGTGCAGCTTGTTTTCAGTGAGCATTTCCAGATCTACTCCCCGAGCACAGGAGACCTTCCTGGTCAAAACTGGGCCCAGCTTCACGCCATGCTCCTGAAGGCTCGTGCTCTCTGGGAGCTCTGAGAGCCAAGGGGGTGGCCTTGTACTTGGTGGACTGCTAGGTGCCTGGCCTAGAGGAGGCCTAGGAGCCTGTGTTGGGGGACAGTCACTGGGGCTGGCAGGGCTGCCCCGTTTCACTGGCAGGCATGGTGCATCCGAACTGGGGAGGGTCCCACCAGGGCCCATGGGACCAGGATGGAGTCCATTAGCAAGACGTTCTCTGCTCTTTTTGGCAGGAACAGGTGGAGGCTGTGATGGATTTTTTGGCTGCATTCTTGCCTCAGGGACCCTCTGCTCAGCATCGACCCCTTCTTTGGTACCCGGGGGATGGTGTGTGCCTTCAAAACCGTGTCCTTTTCTGTGACCCTCCAGAGGCGTCCTTGTTAAGTTGTGTTTAGCTCCAGGAGGTTGAGCATCATAGTTTCTGGGCAAACACTGAGGAAGTGACGTGCCATGTGCAGAGGCTGCGATTGAGCCATCCAGTTTCTCAGTTGTCATTTTCTGAGTGTCAGAAAATCTCTTGCTTTGGGTCAGTAGCAATGCATTGTCGACAGCAGAATCTCGCTCGGAGGGTGGGACCTTTGTGGCGGAGGTGGTTATCTTTTGTGGCACTTCTGGTACAGTCTGAGGGGAGGGTTCTGCCACCTCAGTAGGCACGACTTGCTCAGCACCGGGCTCTCCTTGAAGGTCATCCAGGGAATGGGATCGGGACCAAGTGTCTACAGTCTGGGGGCCCTCCAGGGTCTCACAGCTCCGACAGATGGACACTGGGAGGCTTCTTCGGTTTTTATTCAAACTAGTCACACCTGGCGGGTCACAGCTCTTGGACATGTCCACGGGAAGGCCACTGCCCAGCCTGCCTTCCTCCTGTCCCTGCTTCAGTGCATCCCCTGATTTCATTAAAGGCAATGTTGGGTAGTTGCCCAGCTTGTTCCTGGTGAAAGCCTTCAGGCAGGACTCGGTTGATGACTTGGCAGGTAGGAGGCTAGCTTTCCGAGTCTTGCCTGTGAGACAAGGGAATATTTTACAATCACATTTTTAAAATGATTTAATCAAATTGATGCATAAGGGTGTGCTAATAATTGAAATCTCCAACTCCTATATTCCATTGTTGTGTTATACTATGGACATAAAAATCACATTGGGTGACATAGTTATTATGGTTCCATTTTTAGTTTTAGAAAGAATTCTTAGTCTTATTAAAGGATTCAAGAAGACCGAAATTAATGGGGTTATGTGGAAAAGACATATGCTGTAAAATAACTCCAGGCTTAATGTCTGTTCCTAGCTGCAATCTGTGTGGAAGGAGGCTGACTGTTCATCCCCCATTTAGAGACAACGCAGACGGGATTTCTGTTTGGTGAGTATAATTTCCTAAGATCATGACTGAAAAGGAGAGGTGAACTGAATTCCAAACAGGCTCTACGAATGGTGTCCCCTACAGGGTGATCAGTGAAAACTCCAATCACTCCTCCTCGGAGCCACTCTCCTCTAATACATTTATTCTAGAAACAGTCAACCAGCCTTGATGCAGACAAACTTATGTGAGTATTTTGCCAGAGACAATCTGTAAAATACCAATATGGTTCAAGGTCTCAGAGAAAGCAACAACTCTGGTGAAAATAAAGTGTCAGACTGATAATTCAACTATCCGCCAGACATAATCTACTTATTTGATGATTGTTGATTGACATTAACTGCTGCTGCTAGATAAGCTTTACCAGAAAAATACTATATGGGCCAGGCACTGTGCTGAATGTTTTGTTCTCATCAGTACTTGAAACACACACACACACACAAACAAACAAACACACAAGAGCACACACACACACTTACATCCTTTGTTATATTTTTGGTTAATAACATGTTGGTTTTGTGCTTTGACATTGGGCTGAGATGCCTAAGGCAAAAACTCTAAAAATAAAACTTCTGATGTTGGGTGTGGTGGTTCACGCCTGTCATCCCAACACTTTGGAAGGCAGAGGCGAGAGAACCGCCTGAGTCCATGGGTTCTAGACCAGCCTGGGCAACATGGCAAGACATCATCTCTACAATAAATAAAAAAATTAGCCAGACATAGTGGCACACACCTGTAGTCCCAGGTACTTGGAAGGCTGAGGCGGAAGGATTACCTGAGCCCAGCAGGTCAAGGCTGCGGTGGCTGTGAGCATGCCACTGCACTCCAGCCTGGGTGACAGAGTGAGACTCCCACTCAAATAAACAAACAAACAAAAAAATGAGCCAAATGATCCTATTACTTTAGCCCTATAGAAATGAATGAAAATCCTAAACCCATATTAGGTTTAGAAGGTACAAAGCAATGCTGGCTTAAACCTCTGGAATGCCACTGTTTGTAAGTAAAGGTTTTCTTCCCAATTATTATTTCAGTAAACATTTTAAGTGAAATGTTTTTTACAATGTTGACATCTTTTAATAAATAAGCAGGGAGAAGAAATCAGGCTGTGGACTGGTTTGACTGGGAGGAGAGATAAGATGGGGAGTGTTCCTTGAAGAAAGAAATGACTATTTTGGGCCAATGAAAAATATTCTCTGATAAAAATCCCTATATGCATGCTGTATAAATGAGGGAGAGGGAGTAGAAAGAAAACATGACATCACAAGTGGTTTGGCCATTATCAGCAAGGAGAGAAAGAGACTCCTTTCATGATTTCATAGCCTTCTATCTTAATTTCAAACTAAGACTGATGAACAGGAACAGTGACGACCTCTTCAATCAGACATTTTTTATTTTGTGATTTTTTTAATTTTTAAAAACAGAGACAAGATCTTGCTATGTTGCCCAGGCTGGTCTCAAACTCCTGGTCTCAAACAATCCTCCCACTTCAGCCTCCCAAAGTGCTAGAATTACAGGTGTGAGCCACCGCGCCCGGCCCAATCAGACTTGTTATTAATTATCCCACACTTTTGATAAAACATAAACTAACACATGAAGTACTCTGGAGACATGGTCAAATGGCATTTGTCCTCGTTTGTATGATAATGTGACACCTCAAACCCTATCCACCTGTATGCTTCACACTACACCTACAACATGCTAGGCATTTGTTATTATTTTGTTGCTACATAGAGATCATTAGTCTGATGTCACTATTGAATATACTGACCATGGTCCTACTTTTCATTAATAGAAAAATCAACTAGCCTGGGCAATATAGCAAGACCTCATCCCCACAAAAAATTTTTTTAAAAATTAGCTGGGCGTGGTAGTGTGTGCCTGTAGTCCCAGCTACTTGGGAGGCAGAGGCAGAAGGATCGCCTGAGCCCAGGAAGTTGAGGCTGCAGTGAGGTATGGTCAGGCTATTGCACTCTAGCCTGTGCAACAGTGTGAGACTCCAACTAAAAAAAAAAAAAAATAGACAAAGGGAAATATCTGTTCAGAAAACATATCACATGGCAAGTTTAAAAATTGGGCGAAATAGAAAATTCGTAAAACCCCTTTAGTATGAATTTTAGAAATAAGGCTTTCCTTCCCCTTAAGTCCCAATGTAAACCATACATATACATTCCACTTTTGTGCATTCTGCTGATATGGGAATTATCCCGCAACTCATCTTGAGTTCAAAGTGTGGTTCACTAACTTCTTTAATCTAGTTCTTTAGCAGGTGCACATGAATTCTTTTGGCCATTTAAAATTCTGCCAGTGATATCTGTGATAATCCAGAAAGTTAGAGGGATTAATTTACTGAAAATATTTGAATGTGAAAAAGTTATTACAGAAAAAATAAAAACCTTCAGAACCTACATGAGGTATTTGATGTTTACAGAACCTCAGGATGCTCAGTGATACAGAGTGGAGTTTCCACCCCACCTGGACCTATCTGAAAATTAGGGTTTGGGAAGAACTACTATCTTCCCACATTGACAGAATACCTTGAGTGGTGGGACTCATGGGTCAAATTTTGAGGTACCCAAGATGCTCATCAGAATTAGGATTGGAGCTGGGCTCGGTGGCTCAGCCTGTAATCCCGTGCCTTGGGAGGCTGAGGTGAGTGGATTGCCTGGGCCCGCAGGTTCGAGACCCGCCTGGGCAACTTGGTGGACCTCATCTCTACAATAAATAAAAAAAAATCAGCCGGGAGTGGTAGCGCATGCCTGTAGTTCCAACTACTTGGAAGGCTGAGGCAGAAGGATCGCCAGAGCCCAGCAGGTCGAGGCTGCGGTGGCCGGGAGCGGCCACTGCACTCCAGTCTGGGCAACGGAATGAGACTCCAACTCAAAAAAAACAACAACAAAAAAAAGAATTAGGATTGGGTCACTCATAAGCGGACCCTGAACATTTACCATAATACTATAAGAAAGGGATTGGCAGTAGCAGGATACTGCCAGGGTGAGGGTGGGGACACAACATCAATAAAGGTACCTAAGGTACCTAATCTCAAACCAGGCAAAGTGGGGACCACAGGGAGGCCCAAACTTTAGCTGTACGATATTCACTTGTGTACCTAATCCTTGGTACCCCACATCTTTAAAATAAAATACGGCTGGGTGTGGTGGCTCACATCTATAATCCCAGCACTTTGGAAGGCCAAGGTGAGAGGATTGCCTGAGCCCTCAGGTTCGAGACCAGCCTGGACAACTTGGTAAGACTTCATCTCTACAATAAGTCAAAAAATTAGCTGGGCCTGGTGGCGCGTGCCTGTAGTTCCAGTTACTTGGAAGGCTGAGGCAGAAGGATCGCCTGAGGCAGATAGGTCGAGGCTGTGGTGGCCGGGAATGTGCTACTGCCCTCCAACCTGGGTGACAGAGTGAGATTCCAACTCAGAATAAATAAATAATAAAATAAAATAATAAAGAGAAAAAAACAAATGTCAAAAAATAAGTAAATAAAATAATTAGGACTGGGGTGAAGCAAACAAGTTGCCCCAGAGAGGAAAACTTCAAGAAGAGGGTGAGTCAATCTCTGAGTCAGGCTGCAGGGTCGGTACGTGAGAGTGAGGAGCACCTCCTTAGAGTCTGCCCCCTGGCGCCTCATTGCCTCACATTTGTCCTGGTTTTGGTGACCACAGTGGCCCTCAAACTATTTTTTTGTCATGACGAGACACATTTTACATTCATCGTCCAGTACACAGAGACACACAGGTACGCATGCGTGTGCAAATACACATAGACATAATAGAAACAAGGATTATAAGCAACGATGTCAACAATACTAACCCTTACATAATGGAATGTACTGACACGTTCTATTCTATTTGGGCTTACAACTGCTATCCATAACCCACTAACCCTAATAAATTGCACCCTGCAGGATTACAAAGTTTGCTTGGATAGGCACTGAATAAATATTGCAACACATGGGCTAAGAGGTGAGATTCCAATGACAGCTAAAAACGATCAGAGCTGGGCATTTTTCATGACAATCTTAGAGTTTGACAGAGATTTAGGTGGATGGTGGCAGCGTGACCTTAACTATTGTTTCTAATCTTGCTATAATGGGAATTCTGGGGTCATAATAGGAAAGCACAGAGATACACATGGTAACTTTTGGCTCACCTGACCCCATTCCACTTAAGACTCCCCTTTTGTTTGAGACAGGCATATTTTTTGAAATTTCATATTGACTGCTTCCCAATGAGTAGGACAGAGAAACGACAAACAAGACAAGTGGCCGTCCAGTCATCCTCTCCCACAGTAATGGCCTCTAGGCTCAGGACATGCCATTGCGGCATTTAAGACACTGCTGCTGGTGTGACCCTGAATTATAGTCTACCAGGTAAATTGCTTTTCTGATGGGCCAACACTCAAACGCTGGTTTTTATTGTGTAGAGAAATGGGTATAGGAGACACACAATTTAGGTCTTACAGCTGCAGCCATTTTAGACGGAATTCATTAACCTTGCCCAGCAGCCAGGGAGGTTAACTCTAGCCTAGAACAGTGGAGAGGTCAGGAAGGAAAAAATGACCACTGAGTTCATAATGCCAATGGAATTGTTCTTTTGGAGAAAACTGTACTTTTGAAATGGGTAATAGTCAAAGCTGGTTCCTGACGTTACCGTTTTCCAGGTGCTCACTGCTTTCGTAGCATCCTGAGTCTCGGGGGGAGCATCCACTCAGGCCCTGGCTGTCAACCAGCAGCTTCTCTTGGGATCCTGACTGGTCGCTGTTACCTGGAGAAGGTGAACACATGTATGGAATCACAAGAGGAGTGAAAGGCAGTTTTCAAAGTCAGATCTCGCAATTTTATCCTCAGTTCCTGCCAACTGCTTTTAAGCTTTGCACTTTTAGGGAAGAACAAATTACTTTAAAATAAATGAGATCAAAATGAGTAAGTGAGATCAGGACATTTTTCTTTCAAATAAAGTATCAAACACATGAAGATAAATTTAGAGAGTCTATAGTTGGAATATGTTGGTTGATGCCCTTTTTTTTTCCCCTAAGAGACAGGGTCTCACTCTGTTGCCCAGGTTGGAGTGCCGTGGAGTGATACTGGCTTACTGCTGCCTCAACCTTCTAGGCTCAAGTGATCCCCCTGTCTCCGCCTCCTGATAGCTGGGACTACAAGTGTGTGCCACCATGCCTGACTAATTTTTAAAATCTTTTGTAGAGACGGAGTCTCACTATGCTGCCCAGGCTGGTCTCAAACTCCTGGGCCCAAGTGATCTTCCTGCCTCTGCCTTTCAAAGTGCTGAGATTACAGGCGTGAGCCACTGCAACAGGTCTGTCTATGTTGATGACTTTTAATTTACCCAAACAGAGGCTGGCTCTGGACTCAAGGCTATGAGGACAGTAGACATTCAGATCATCCTGTTGGTAGTGGGGGAAAGCACTCAGTCCCTTCCGAGTGAGGACACCATCAAGGAGATGCAAAGAGAGGATAAACATCCCATTCACAGGTGGGCTTGAGTCATATGTTCTTCAGAGATCTCTAAGACATGTCCTTCAAGGTAATTATATTACCAGCTTTCCAAATTCAGGAGTCAGTATTAAAATGTGAAATTTTAGTAGCATTTAGGCCAGGAATGGTGACTCATGCCTATTATCCCTGCACTTTGGGAGGCCAAGGCAGGAGGATCACTTAAGCCCAGAGGTTTCAATCTAGCTGGGGAAACACAGCAAGGCTTCATTTCTACAAAAAAAAAACAATTAGCTAGACGTGGTTGTGCACGCCTATAGTCCCAGCTACTCCAGAAGCTGAAGTGAAAGGACTGCCTGAGCCCAAGAGGTCGAGGCTGCAGTGAGCTGTGATTGTACCACTGCAGTACAGCCTGGGTGACAGAGTGAGATTCTGATCCCCCGCCCCCACCCAATAGTAGCATTTAGCATTATTTAGCCTCTGGGGACATGTGCCAACTTCTGTGCTATCTCAGCAGGAGTAAGGCTGGCATAACCAGTGACAAATCTTTGTTTTTGTGACTTGGAATGAGTTAGAGGGTTTTCTTTCTTTTTTGCTTGTTTTCTTGACCAGCATTTCAAATTTCTGCACAGGGAAATCTCAGAAAACCCTCAAACCTGGAAACTGAGGGACAGATTCATGGTTATTGATACAGGCAGGTGCGTGAGTGCAAGTTGGACATCCTCTTTCTGAGAAACCCTTTTAAAGAGAAGCATTGCTATTTGTTAATTGTACCTGAACAAAGCCAGTGGGGGGAAAAAAAAACAAGAGAAGCATCAGATGGTTCTGCTGCATGAGTCTGCCCAGAGTCAACCACGTGGACCTTCAATACCCCAATAGCATCACTCTCCGTGATCTAGAAAGGGGACACATGCAGCCTCACATGGAACACTGAGGTTACACGTAGAACATCTTTGCATTATTATGCAGAGTAAGGGCTCGGTCACATAAAACAGAAACCAAGAAAACATTTTCTACATAAAATAGCTGGTTGCAATGATAAGTGATTTCATTTTCCTTTCTCTTCATTTCCCTCCCCTCCCTCCCCACAAATCCAACCACATGCACAAAGAAAAAAGAAATCAATCTACTAGAAATATGATGCCTTTTCTCAGGTCATCAAAACACAGACGTGGGGAGGCAGTGGGCTGCCGTTTGCATCCGTGCCACTGCACTGCCCCTCCCGCCCTCTTCTTGCTTGTGCTTCTCACGGGGAGAGTGTTCTACAACCCAAATTACAGTAGAGATCACGGCAGAATCACCCTTAAATTTGAATCTCAAATTAAGAGTGCTGTTTTAAAAACAAAATGATTCACGAACAATTAACTAATTGGAAGCACGAGAGCAAATACTTCCTCCTTCTTCCCTACCACACCACCAAAACGTAGAACATTCTAGAGTGATGTCCTCATTGTGTGGAAGAGTCTGTGGATTTGGAGCGGCCTTTGTTCTAGCCTAGCATGTTATTTAGAAAAATGAGACTTCAAAATGAGGGTTTTGAGCTCTCCATGGCAACCCAGAAAGAGGAATCGGTGTGGTCTGTCCCTGGCGACAACTTCAGTGCACCGCAGTGGCCAAAATAGACTCAAGTGATGACCCATGGGAGTAACACAGAAAACATGTTTGTTGCCGCTGCAGGGAAATGTATGCTGTGCCTACACCTTTGGGGATCACAGCCTCCCCAGTTACAGCAGGACAGGAGAGGGAAGGAATCCATCCTATCACCCAAAAACCAGTTCAATTTATAAACTCATGAGGCACAAGGCAAGGGGCTAGAGTCACTGTCTTTGTCAGGAAGAAAAAGAGATGGAATGTCTTTTATATGTAGTGCAGAATCAAAACCACAATTTTTTCACACTTATTGGCATTAATGCCAAGGTATGAAAGACAGAAAAACGATGGGCTAGGACCATAAAAATTCACAAATAAAAACAAAGTGCTGGGTTGTGAGGCTGAAATGCCATTTGAGCATGACCTGAGTTTGGACCTGAAGGGACTCTGCTTAGGCTAAAGCCCTCCCTGTCCCCACCCTTCCCAAAGATGTACACACACACACACACACGTATGCACACAAGAAAGATATGCAAAGACACCTATAAGATCTTCAAATGTCAAAAGGTGGTGGTACATGAGGGTAACCACCATTTTCTGGAGAACAGTTATCGCAAAAGAGACGGGAATGGGATTCTTGAGGAGCAGGACGTAATGGGCACGCCCACAGCCACTTCAGCCTTGACCTGCTGGGCTCAAGTGATCCTTTCACCTCAGCCTTCCAAGTAGCTGGAACTACAGGCATGCACCATCACACCCAGCTAATTTTTTTGATTTACTGTAGAGATGAGGTCTTGCCAAGTTGCCCAGGCTGGTCTCAAACCCGTGCGCTGAGGTAATCCTCTCACCTTGGCCTCCCAAAGTGCTGGGATTACATGCATGAGCCACTGCACCCAGTCCACAATTTAAACATGTTTTAAACAGTGTTTTTTAAAGGGAGCTTTCCTTTGGCAGACCTAGGACAGTGGGTCTGGTCCTGGTATAAGGAAGAGCTGTCTGACCACTAGGAGTCTTTTCCAAATGGCACCCTGAATAACAACTGCATTCCCCACTTTGAGAAAGGCTGGACGGGTCTGACTTCCAAGCTGTGCTGGAGATGAACTTTTTGCTCTGGGTGGAAGGTTGAGCTAGAAAACTTTCAAGATGCCTACATATCTGCAAGATCTCAATAGACCTCTGTATCTCTCTCTTGTGCACAGAAATTTAGTTTGACAGAAACCCACTGGGTTCTCCTAAGTTATCAGTTATTTGGAGGAAGTACTTCTTAACCACAACAAATATAACTGCATTAGATGTAAAATCTTTTAACTCTAGTATAAACCTAGATCCAGACACTTGGCACTAATTGGCCCTTGCAGCCTTTGCTTTAGACCCAATGAAAGGAAAAACTACTTTATATATATCAGGGAAGTTCTGAATAGGAACAGCATAGATTCAACACTTATGAAGAGACTTATGAAGAAGCAAAGAGGCCTTCTCAGCTTTCTGAGCTAGCACCCTGCTGGATAAAAAGACCCTCCTGCAAGACATCCCCTGGAACACACAAATCTCAGGATGTGACCCTAGGAGGGATGATGATTCTAAGCCAAAGTGGTATGAAACAGACTATGCACAGATCCCTGCTGTGCACTCAGTATTTAGCTTTGCTCTTCCCACATAATGAGTGATACAGGAAAAATAATGAATAGTGTGTATACACCAGCTGTTCTCAGTGGCTGAGGATAAGCTAATGAGCTAGGTTACAGAGCAGCATGTGGTTCAGGAGAACAGCTAATTTAATATTAATTCATATTAACAGGGCTGGTTGGCTATACCAGTCACTGTGCAGGCTATTTACACACAGCCCGGCCATGGATCCCCATGTGTCTCGTGGGGGATTCAAGCACTAAAAAGACCTGGTTATAAAGTGCTATTAACTATGAATCACAATTCCCTCCACACCTATCCCTGAAGGCAGCCTATTTACCTCAGGCTCAGACATCTATTTGATGGTGTGTTTCTCTATGTTATCCGTTAATTTAAAGAGTACCTATTTCGCAGAAGCGGATTGAACTTAGTGACACCCATGCTTCCATGTCTCTTGGGCCTGATGCATTCAGTAATGTATAATTATTTTTCCACCATTAACCATGGTTTCAGTGTGTCTGTAGCAATAGAAACGCTATTAGCTACTGATATTCTTGAAGCAGAGCCCTTGATAAAAAATGCATTTGAATTCAATAACTGGAAAGAATACTCCCTTCGTGATGACTGATTTCGGGAATATTTCTGATGTCAGACTGAAGAATAAAGAGCAAGATAAGGCGGTTAATGGAGCAAAGGATATGGTATATCCAAATAGAAGCCATAGAAGCTGTGAGCTCACTGATAATTCTCTTCACAGGCTGTGAAAATAAGCTGTCGTTTAGGTTGGGAATTTGCAAGGCAATCAATATGGAATTCTCTACATAGTCACTTCAAAGAGACAGTTCCTTCTTTAACAGAAGCTGATGAATTTCATGTATCCACTAACCAATCTGTTCAATAAAAAACGACCCCTCATGTGCTTTGAGAAGTAAGTAATCCTTAGTGGGGTGAGAAATTCCCAGCGGGTCAGTCACCATTTTGTCTAGGTATCCTCAGGGCCCGCTGAAGGCTGCACATCCCAAATAGTACTTAAAGGTGAGGTGTACTGGTTTCTTAGGAAAACTGTAATTCAGTTCTCTCAGACACTCAATGCAACATTATCTACAACTAGTAAAGGTATCGGCGGGAAGTATGGTTTTCTTTTGCTCCCATGTTAACAGGAATGCCTGTATGGGGAATTTCTATGTCTTTGTCCTGTTTGACATAATATAAAACTGTCCTTGGCTTTATAAAGAGCAGGGCCACATGAGTGACTCCAGGGAGACCAAAACAAGTGTATGGGTGGCCTGCTGGTGACTGAATCATGTGGCTCATCTAACAGGGAACAGCTCTGCTCATGAAGGGACTTACTGTCATATTCCTGTAACAGTTCCACTGCTGTCAGGAGAACAGCTCTGTGTTCGGGGTCCCTGATATTTAACTCATCCAAGTCTTCCTCCTCCAGCAGCTTAAAGGTATCCAAATCTTCATAGCCATTGAATAGGAAAGTGGGCATGTGCTCCTGTGACAGGGAGAAAGAAGACAGGAGTGAGTCAGTGGCCCAGTCATGTGATACACCACCAGCAACTAGCATCCCACACTACACTCTCTTAAAAATAAGAAAAATTGTTTGACTGAGTCAAAGTCTCACTCTGTCACCCAGATTGGAGTGCAGTGGCACAATCACAGCTCACTGTAGCCTTGAACTCCTGGGCTCAAGCAATCCTCTCTCCTGAGCCTCCCGAGTAGCTGGGAACACAGGTATGGGCCACCACACCAGTTAAATTTTTGATTTTTTTGTAGGGATGGAGTATCACTATGTTGCCCAGGTTGGTCTCAAACTGCTGGACTCAAGCGATCCTCCCATCTTGACCTCCCAAAGTGCTGGGATTATAGGCATGAGCCACTGTACCCAGCCCCTCCACTCTTTTACCATAGTCAGCTCTATGCTAACCGAAAGATCAGTAAGTATCATTTGTGATATATCTGTACCTCCTGGCCCTCCAACTTAGTAGGTAGGTGGGGCATTGTATTAACCATGGGCTAGGAAAGCATGCATTGCAAGCTGTGATGGACTCTGCTGGATTGTATTATAATTGTGCCCTTGATATGAACTAATCCCTTTACCTCCACAAGGCCCACAGCAGAGGAGATGCTTCCTTCATTTATAGAGCTATTAAAATCCAACTCAAGGCCGGGCAGGTGGCTCAGACTGTAATCCCAGCACTTTGGGAGGCCGAGGCAAAAGGATTGCCTAAGCCCACAGGTTTGAGACCAGCCTGCGCAACTTGGTGAGACCTCATCTCTACAATAAATCATAAAAACTAGCCAGACATGGTGGTGTGCATCTATAGTTCTAGCTACTTGGAAGGCTGAGGCAGAAGGATTGCCTAAGTCCCGCAGGTGGAGGCTGCGGTGGCCGTGAGCATGCCGCTGTACTCCAGCCTGGTAACAAGAGTGAGACTCCAACTCAATGAATAAATGAATAAATAAATAAATAAAATTCACTAAAAAAGTCCTGCAAATTCCTCAGAGCAAGAGGGTTTTGCTAGGAGGAAACAGAACCTACCACTGCAGACTCACCTAGAAAGAACCCTACTAGATGCTGAGAGAGATGGTGGGAGAGAGATGGGGATGGAGGTGCCCAGAGGCCCCCACAGAGCTGGGGGTGCCAGGGGTTTCTGCTTACAGCCCTTCCAGTGGCAAGTCCTGACCCAGGGTGTGTGCTGTCACCCACGACTGAGGTCAAGGGCAGCATTAGAATACTGGTGACTATTTTTATAGAAAGATGGATACTTATCATAGTAATGGGCTGTCCTTATTGGACAACACAGATCAACTCCTCCCCTGCTCTAAAAGAGCTGTCATTTGCTTAGCTTAGATGGGAAAAAGGCAATGCTGAGCCAGGTGAGACAAGAGTAAGAAGTGACTGACTTTCAGGTTAATCCGATCAAGGAGATCCTCCACAGACTTAGGCTGGGGTGGTCTTCCTTTTCTCCTCCTCCTGGTGGGGCGCTTGGGCTTCTCCTCATCTTCATTGAGCACATCCACATAGATGAACTTGAACGTGCCAACCTTGTTGTTCAGTAGGCCCATCCAGGTACCCATGGGAGGTTTGCTGATGATATCGATGATATCTCCTTTCTGTGGCCCAGGGAATAAAGATCTTTCCATTAGATACATTGCATGAAGGTACAAATTCTGAATCAGTCAGATGCATGAGTCATGCAGATGTGAAAATGCTACAAAGGTCAGAATCAGGATCCCACAAGTTATTCTTCTGAACAATGCACGTAGGATGTGACTGGGGGTATGGCAGAGGTCAGATGTGTACTTACGACTGTGTTGGATTCCATGCAGGCCCCGGGGCATGGTCCCTCCATCCTCCTGCCCTACAGGACCAGGTATGGCTGAGGGCGCTCTCAGTCAGCCCACCCACCCGGCACTCTGAAAGCCTTCCCATCCTCCAGGGCGCTCCCACTTCTTGGAGAAAGCATTTCCCACCAGTCCCAGTCAGCAGCAACCCATCTTGCAATTGCTTTATACACTCTGTGGAACTCATCTGTCCCACAGATATCTCTATTTATACAGGGGAGGCAGTACAGAAACTTGGGTGGGATGAGGGATGCAACAGAAATTCTAGAGGAAAGCTGAGGTCAGAGGACAGGGCCAGGAGGATGGGGAGGTGATGACTGAGGGGTTAACACAAGACCCTCTCTACGCCTCGACTGCTGGCTGGTTCTTGGTTTTATTTTTCACTACAGTGGAGACCAGGAGATCAAGGTAGCTAAGACACCGTACAGCCTGCCCCATCACAGTCCAACATTCAACAGTAAGGAGGAAAGAAAACCTCCCAGGGAAATGAAAGAGCCCAGGTAACTGCTCTGGGCCAGGGAGACAGATACCTTGAGCTTGAGTGAGTCTGTGTCATAGGGACTAGGGGTGAAGTCAGTGTGCACCCTGGCGCGCCCACAGAAAGGACCCCGGTAGGGCAGCTCTTCATCATCACCATCTTCCGACTTGACACTTTCCCTGTTGCTTGTTGAGGAATCGGTGGTACTCACTGTTTGACCACCTGTGCAGGAAAAATAGAAAGAACGAGGGTAGATACAGGTTTCTCACATAGCACAGCTGAGGGCATTGAAGGTTAGAATAGAAAATGAAGATCCAGAGAAAGGAAGCCATGAACCACACCACATGGCAGGACTACAGCAGGGCCCAGTCATGAGTTCTCCAATCACTATCCCTTAAGCCCCTGATTGGATCGGGGACTCACAGCAAATTATCCTTTTGACCTGGGGACCCAGGGGATGTGGAGACTTCTGACAGAGGATACTGCAGTACTAGCCACTATGATCTGTCCTCTCTTTTGTAATGTACACTATTTTTTTACCCCATTTTACAGATGAGGAAACAAATTCAGAGAGGTCACGTAATTTGCTCTAGGGTAAGTGGTGAACTTAAACCTGATCTCTTCCCCCATACCATGTGGCCAATACAGATCACCATTGGCCCTGGACTAGCTGAACAGGATTTGTTATCAGTGACATTTAAAATTCTCCTCCCTTCCCCAGACCCCTTTATTGTGCTGGTCATCCTCTTGTGACTTTCCCCGGGTTTATTCTCTTCCATTTTCTAAATCCTCCTTGAGAGGCTTTCCATATTTTCTCTGATAGAAATTCATCACCCTTATTTTGTTCCACGGCTACACATCTACTACTAAACAAACACGACTCTAAAGTCCAGTTTGGAGGTCTCTAATAGCACCCAAAGGGTAGGAACTTGGTCTTACTTATCTTGAAATTGCTCAATAAAGGTCTGATTGTGAACTCCAAAGGGAATAATCTATAGTTACAAATTAGACTTACTCATGGAGCTCTGTCCACTCAGAGAACTCCGAAGACTTTCTACAGAACCTCCAGCCTTGAGCTTGGGCTTGTCCACGTGTTCAGGGTCAGTCTGTGAAGACGGAGGGGAACCAGGCATCCCATCAAGGCCCGAGTCCTACAATGGGTTTCAACAAAATGAAAATGGTTCATCAGAGTGGACAGGTGTTTTGTAATTCTCAGCAATTTGATCTTCCACTAAATCTATCACATCAGTCTATACCCATATTGACTCTATATCCAATACTCTCTCCCGATTGCTTAATTTTAAAATTATGGCTCATGTTAGTATTTATTAAGCACTCAAAAATTATTTTTCATGCTCAAATAGATATGTTTGAAATCACTGACAAAAATCGATCTACCACATAGACAAAATATTCAAGTTAAAGGCCGCGAGACTCTTAGCATATTCAACAGTCTAGCAACAAGGCTGAACTATGAATGCAGATCAAGTAAAATCTACTATTAATGTAATATCTGAACTGTCAAGAGGACATTTGATCTACTTTGAATGGAAATATTTACACTAAAAAAAAATGTACTCCTGGGAGAAAAAAAAGGGGCCAGATCCTTATGTTTCTATTTATACAAATTATTGAAATTGGCTAAAGATATACCAACTTAAGACTCAGACATACAGCAATAATACTGTTTTTTAATCTGTAATAAAATTTCCAGATGTCACTCTGTGGTTTTAGTCTCTTTCTCCTTTTTAAAGCTTTGTAAGTCAAAAGCTATGACTGTGAAGTCTCTTTCAGGTCAGAATGCTGACAGCAATGACTCAGCAGTACTTTTTGCTTTCTTGGATCGCTATGTGTTATCAGTCCCTACGACCCCTCATTTGCATGGCCAAGTATAGCATGCTGACTTCATTAGTGGTGCTGTATCAATAACCAAGATCACACTTCATCAAGCTTGTAAATGAGAATTGTTTACTTGCCAAAATGGGAACGTATCTAGCATGCTCCACAGTCACGTGAGCACAAAACCACCTAAACGAAACCTGTTATTTGCCTGGTGCTGAATCATCAGAAGGGCTTTCATGCGGTAATGCCGGCCTTGCAAACATTCAAGGACAGCAGCAATGCCAGTTTCTGATCCAACACACTCTTGTACTTCACATTGAAGGAAAGTGAGCAAACAACTTCAAAAACAGCAACTAGAAGCACAATGGCCATGACTTGGAAATTAATGGCACTGCAAAGTATAAATTCCTAAAAAAAATATCATTCCTTCCTCCTTTTTTTGCGTTGGGATCTCACTGTCACCCAGACTGGAGTGCAGTGGCACAATCACATCTCACCACAGCCTTGACCTCCTGGGCTCAGGCGATCCTTCTGCTTCAGCTTACCAAGTTGCTGAGACTACAGACACATGCCACCATGCCCAGCTAATGTTTTTGATTTTTTTGTAAGAGACGAGGTCTTGCTATATTGCTTAGGCTGGTCTCAAACTCCAGGACTCAAGCAATCCTCCTGCCTCAGCCTTCCAAAGTGCTGGGATTAAAGTGTGAGCCACTGTGCCCAGTCTATTCCTCCTTTGTGAATCATAAAGTAAGTGATCTTTCCAATTAAAACATTTTGAAAAGCTTCTGGAAAAAAATGCATTTTGAAAAACAGCAATATAATATGCACTTTTATATGCTCTCAAATGCCTTTTAAAACTATTAATTTATTCATCACATATTAATTGCCTATAAGAACAAGTACTATCCCAGGTGCTAGGCATATAACAGGATGAGAAAAAACAAAAATCCCTACCACAGTGGTTGGTATATTCACTAAAAAGGTTTTTTTTAAATCACACAAAATCTCACATTAATTTTTTCTTTCCAGAAAGCATTATAATGATCAATAATTTCTTCTTTCCCTTAACTTATGTGAAATGATTCCTTAAAAAAAAAACACAGAGAAGAGCAAAATTGCTATATGGCGGTAAAATTATAGAAAAATGCTCAAAATGACACTAAAATTCTATGCTCATGGTTCATAAAGCAGAAGACCTCTAGGAACATAAGCTTATAAGAGCTTTCAGTGGCTGTTTCAATTTGGGGGAAAAGCAAACTTAATAAAGTGCTTTAAGTTAGTGGCATTCTTTCACTACAGTGCTGTTGGCTTCATGGCTAGGCAGAAATACGGAATCACCATCATTCCCTCACCCATAGGGACAACAAAATGAATAAGAAAAAAAACCATCATGGACAACACACATGAATGGCAGCTCAGACCGCCCCTATAGCTCTAATGAGCCATGTTTTCTCAATCTGAGTATCACTGGCATTTTGGACTAACAGTTCTTTGCTATGGGGGCTGTCCCGTACATGCTAGAATGTTAGCAGTGCCCCTGGACTCTAGATGCCAGTAACAGCCACTTCACTTCACCCTTACCCAGTCTAATGACCAAAAGTAGCCCTAGACCAGGCATGGTGGCTCGTGCCTGCAATCCCAGCACTTTGGGAGGCTGAGGTGGGAAAATCACATGAGTCCAGGAGTTTAAGACCATGCAGGGCAGCATAGCAAGATGTCTCTATAAACAAAAATAATAATTAAAAAAAAAATAGCCCTCTGGAGTCAGTGAGGGAACAAAATCACAACCTCATGAGAACCACTGTGATAAGCTAAAGCTATGATGCAGGCTTTATTTGAATCAGAGCATGGCACTGGCTGGTTGGCGGTGTTCAGAGTGGTTCAAACCTGGAGATGCTTGGGCTTAGCGTGTACCCACCAGAGGGCAGCAGCTGAGCAAAAATGTCTGCTTTCCCTGCTGTTTTGATTAGGATGACGCGGCATTCCTTACAAATTTCAAACAGACAACCAGCTAGCTTACACATACTTCAACAGGCTACAAATGAGTACTTAGGAAGGTACCTGAAGAGAGTGCTTGGAAAATCGAATGGTCAAAATTATCTCAAAACCCAGCTCTCCAAGTGTCTTTATTTCCTCCACCCATGCCATTAACAGAAACTGGTGGTCATGTTTCTAGTGATGAAAGTATAGAACTGGGGGGGGGGGGCACCTGATTCCGTGGTATCTCAGTGGCTAAGATATGGTCAGTTAGCAAAATACCCCCCTTCCGAAACATTACTACTGAAGTCTGGTAGCCAGAAGCACTTTCTGAGTTTACTTCTCAGACTTACTATGAGCTTCTAGAACAACATTTGACAAGTCTGCTGTCCAAACATACTTTTTCAGGTTTCATCCCAGTGACATCCATTTTGTAGCAAGGGATATTTTAGATAATAAAATCCTTTCTTTGTGTCCAAATGTATAGTGCTTTACTGGCCAGGTACAGTGGGAATGTAATCCCAGTATTTGGGAGGCCGAGGCAAGAGGATCGCTCGAGCCCAGGAATTCAAGACCAGCCTAGGTAACATAGCAAGACCCTGTTTCTGTGAAAAAATGAGCCAGGCATGGTGGTGCATGCCTGTAGTCCCAGCTACCTGAGAGGCTGAGGCAGAAGGATCACCTGAGCCCAGAAGATGCAAGCTACAGTGAGCTGTTATCATGCTCTTGCACTCCAGCATGAGCAACAGAGTGAGATCTCCAACTCAAAAAACAAACAAACAAAAAATTAATCATTTTAACAGTCTGAATCTCATCTGGGCATAGAGGACAAAATCAGAGTCTGTATCTTGTATTCTGAGCACCAAGCACAGTGCCGGAACAGTGCTAAGTGCTCAATAAATGCTTGTTGAATTGAATGTCTGTCTACATAAACAAAGCATAGTCTTGGAGCAGGCTGATGCCAAGGAATGCATGAAGTTAGCACCATTTAAAATTTCAGCTGGCTCATCCTTAGCTCTTCTTGTTGTCAGGAAGAACCAAGGGGGCTCTCTGCTGGGTAGTTCCACACCTGCTCAGAGACGGAGCTGCTATACTTTTTAGACATCCTCTTCCTCATTGTCTCTTTCACCGATTTCACCTTTTTCCCAAGAGAGATGCGGGAAGCAGTGGGTGATTTGATGACTTCTTTGTACACAAAATCTCCTTCTTTACCCTGCAAAGCAAAACGTCATGAGTAAGTACCATTAGTCACAGAAAATGAAGCCCAGAAACAGGTTTATCATGCAAACCATTAATATCCTGGCTCTCAGAAAAATATTAGCATTTCCCTGGATCTTGAAATTTTTCCTGCATCAAACTCAGTGCTGTTATTTATCTCTTTGATTAAAAATTAAAACCTATGAACTACAGGGCTTTTTGTTTGTTTGCTTAAAGTGGGATGTGAGTCACCATTTATTTATTTATTTATTTATTTTTGAGTCAGAGTCTCACTCTGTCACCCAGGCTAGAAGGCAGTGGCATGCTCCCGGCTACCGTAGCCTCAACCAGCTGGGCTCAGGTGATCTTTCCGCCTTAGCCTTCCAAGTAGCTGGAACTACAGGCACGTGCCACCATGCCTGGCTAATTTTGTGATTTATTATAGAGATGAGGTCTTGCCCAATTGCCCAGGCTGGTCTCAAACCCATGGGCTCAGGCAATCCTCTCACCTTGGCCTCCCAAAGTGCTGGGATTATAGACGTGAGCCACCACACCCGGCTGAGAGTCACCTTTTAACCTTAGTACATTCTTATTTGGTTATATATATTTTTTCCACCATTTTAAACACCCAAGGGGAATGCAATTCATCAATAAAAATGAAATTGAACCAATGACTTACATGAACCAATGTTCATGTAATCCCAGCAATGGGGGAGACGAGAAGGATGATACTACTGAATCACCCTTGGAGAGAGGTAAGAACACAAGGGAAGCTCAGTCATTAGAAGTTCAACATCTGATTGAATTTCTGTCACTGCTGTGTTTAGTGTGGCCAACTCCTAAGGGCATACACACGTCCTTCTTCCAACAAGCTAGATTATACCCAGCTCTCATTATATTTTGCATTTTAAAACACCATACTTTGCCCTGGAAAAGGAAACAAAATGTACACTTTCCCTCAATTTTTAAAGAAGATTGCCTGAAAACAATTATTGGAAGCTGGGCATGGTGGCTCACGTCTGTAATCACAGCACTTGGGAGGCTGAGGCAAGAGGACTGCCTGAGCCCACAGGTTCGAGATTAGCCTGGGCAACACGGTGAGACCTCGTCTCTACAATTAAAAAAAAAAAAATATCTGGGCATGGTGGCGAATGCCTGTAGTTCCAGCTACTTGGAAGGCTGAGGCGGAAGGACTGCCTGAGCCTAATGGGTCGAGGCTGTGGTGGCTGTGAGCATGCCATGGCACTCCGGCCTGGGTGACAGAGTGAGACTCTGACTCAAAAAAATAAAATAAAATAAAATTATTGGTTTAGGAATCAATAAAATTTGATATCCAAATAAAAGTTCAATTCTCTTCCAAGAAATTATCAATTACTTCATATACCACAGATGGATGTTGTAGCCGACTCCTGAGGATAACACAGATAAAACATAGGAATGTTCATTTTACAGTTTTAGGACAAAATACACAAGGAACAAGCAAAACTCACTGCCAACCTTGGGACCTGAGAAAGTGAACTTCAGGGAATAAAATGTGTGCGCTACAGAGGCGGCCTGTCCCTAGACGTGGTCCAGAAGCAGCTCCGAGAAGGCAGTGACCTGGGCCCTGAAGGGGGTGGGTTGCTTTGGCCCCAAGGAGACTGAATTCATTCCAGGATATTCCAGATCACAAAGCCCTGGGCTTAGTACAGGGCCAGGTGCTAGCAAGACTGGTTTTACGAAATGCCAGCACATACTCTTGGGTGTCCAAATCACAGGACTCCTTCCTGTCACACTACACGAATGTAGTAGTTATGTACTTGCAACTAGTGTGAAGAAACAGCCATGTGCACAAATAACACAGACCACAGAAGCCAAACTCATTTGTTACTTGAGGAAAACTGGAAACAAAGGCATGAGGAACTGCACTACTTCAAGGAGGGAGACAGAGGTCCAACAGGTCATCATTCATTCCACGGGGAATAGCAATGGGTCTTCAAGATGGGTGAAACAGGGCTTCTTTTGAGGATTACCAAAGAATATGTTACTGAGTATCAATTCTCAAAGACACTAAATGGACAACTGCTATTTGCCACATTGCTTGAATCTAAATCTTTTCCTTTCTTCTGGCATATACTCACCATTGGGTCAGAATTATTACTGCTAACGTGCAGAGATCGATTTGTCAAGTCAAATCCTCCAAAACTGCAGGTTCTCTGTAAGAAGAGAGGGTGGGGCAGAAATTATCTGGTTATGCTGAAACCAGTTAGCAGTGCACCAACCCAACGCGTTTCCCATTCGCAGGACATCTCCGAATCACAAATATGTGCACAGTATGAAAGTCGAAAACGAGAAACGATGAGGAAAAAAAAATTATGGACTTCGCAGCAACTTGGATGGATTTAGAGTCTATCATACTCAGTGATCTATCACAGAAACAAATAACTGAGTACCACATGTTCTCACTCATAAGCGGACCCTGAACATTTATCATGATACTATAAGAAAGGGATTGGCAGTAGTGGGAGACTGTGAGGAGAGGGGTGGGGGGGGCACATAACATCAATAAGAGTGCCTGATCTCAAATCAAGCAAAATGGGGACCAAAGGGAGGCCCAGACTTTACCTGTATGATGACCACTTGTATACCTCATTCTGAATTATACCCCATATCTTTAGAATTTAAAAAAAATCCACATGATTCATGTCCTAATGGAACATCACTCATTTTTCCCTTTCAGAGGTCGCTAGAACTCTGCCTGTCCTCAAGGTCTGGCATCCCCTTCCCTTAACATGCAAAAACCCAACAACAAAACCCTCCAGTGTAGTGCAGTAAGCTTCCCTGTCCGGTGGTGCGGAACTTCCCCTTCAACTTTCTTTAGTATCAGCTACATCCGGTAGTGACATTGAAGGGATATGTATCAGAGGATCCAGGTGCTCAGGGGCTTGGAAACCCAGGTTTGAAACCCAAACGCTCTGACCCCAACAGCAAGGTTTGCAACTAGACTTTTGTTTTGTTTAGTTTTAAATCGCTGAGAAGGGGAAAAAAGGGTTATGTTTATAGTAGTCCAATCAGGCCAAGAGGATTACTCACTCATTGCTTCCTCATCCTAGCCAAAAGTGCTGATAACTTTCCCATCCAACTGCCCAACTTCATTAACGATGACCCCTTTTCTCACAGTCGATGAAGCGAAAATTCCACATTTGCCCAGAAAGCAAAAGGTTGATTCAGTGACTGTCTTTAACCACACTCTTTAGTTTCAGTAGAAAAGAAGGGCGGACATTATGGAGAATGAAAATTTTACTGTCATTTTAGTTGGTCTCAAGCTTTATGGAATTGCTTATATTTCAGTGATTTTGTATTTACAGAATTTGGTTCAAATTCATTGTTGTTTTTCTAGCAAAAGTCACTCAACAACAACCTTGCTCCCCCCAAAACACACTAATTTTGTCGTAACTAATTATCTTTTGAAAACATTGATAATAAAAGTTTAGCAGCAAATCTGGGCTTCAATATTTTTTATTACTCGTTTCTCAGAGAACTCTAATCAATAGCTATTAAGTGGTAGAAATGAACAGGAAAGTACAATGCGAACTATAAGCATACCTTATTAAAATAAATATACTGCCAGGCATGGTGGCTCATGCCTGTAATCCCAGAACTTTGGAAGGCCGAAGTGAGAGGACTGCCTGAGCCCACAGGTTTAAGACCAGCCTAGGCAACATGACCTTGTCTCTATAATAAATAAAAAAAATTAGCCGGGCATGGTGGCACATGCCTCTAGTTACAGCAACTTGGAAGACTGAAGTGGAAGCTCACTTGAGCAGGTCAAGGCTACAGTGGCTGTGAGTGTGCCACTGTACTCCAGCCTGGGCAACAGAGTGAGACTCTGTCTCCAATAAATAAATAAATAAATAAATAAATAAATAAATAAATAAATAAACAAACTATATATATATGAATTGAGTGAGAAGGTAGAGGCATCCTGGAAGAAAAATGTCTAGGTTTTTGGAATGACACAGAGGTAGATCCAAATCCTGGTCCTACCACTTACTTGCTGTGTGATCACAGGTCAAGTCCTTAACCTCCTTGAGCTTTGGATTCTTCATTAGTAAAATAATTTCTGTTTCATATTTCAAGATATCTAGCCTACCACCTGGCACAAAGCAGACACTCTATAAATGATAGATTTTTCCTACAACTTTTCACTAAGACTATACTTAGAATTTGGTAGTTCACCCAAGGAGTTGTTATACAAGTTGAAGCTTAGTCAACATGATAGATATGCAAATGAAGAGCTGGAGTGTCATTCTAAGTCTTACAACTGAATCTGGGATCTCAACTGTAAAACAGAAGCATCCCAGGAAGAGGGACACAAAGAGAGAGATGGCCGTTGTGGCATAATGAAGGGCCAGGAGAAGAGGCAGGCATTTTGAAATAATCAAAATCAGGATGTCACAGATCTGTTGGTTTTCACCAGTGCTATTGCTGATGTTTTAGATAATCTACTACCCAACTTGTTTTCCAATGGCTGTTATCCTAATTTTATGTTAAATATCAATAAGCAAACTGATTTTGCTTATAGTCCATTTAACTGGACATATGTCTTACTCACTCATTCATTCATTCATTTTTGAGTCAAGGTCTCACTGTGTTGCCCAGGCTAGAGTGCAGTGGCATGATCACAATCATGGATTACTGCAGCCTTGACCTCCTGGGCTCAGGTGATCCTCCCACCTCAGTCTCGTGACTAGCTGGGACTATAGGCGTATGTGGTATCACACCTGGCTAATTTTTTTGATTTTTGCAGAGACACGGTCTTACTATGTTGTCCAGGCTGTTCTCAAACTCCTGGGCTGGAGCAATCCTCTCACCTCGGCCTCCCAAAGTGCTGGGATTTCAGGTGTGAGTCATCACACCCTGCCTTGGACCTATATCTAGTCTACAGAAAGAGAAAGACCTACTACACAAACTTATTCATCAAATCACCTAACCGGGAAAGCAATGTTATGACCAACTCTCAAGGCTGATTTTTAATATTAACTTTCCTTTTCCAGCTCGTAATGCAAAGTAAGTTTCCTCATTCTTGCAAAAACAGTGGTTTTATTCTAGTTCCTTTCCTATGACTCAGGGTTTCACAGGCATAGTATGGTGCCCAGATGCCTGATCACTTTATGACTGTTGCACACCCCTGCTTTAAACTACAGCATATCTACTGCAATGCTGGATGGAGCTCAGCATGTTATTCCTGATGCATATGAAATAACTGACAAAGAATTTATGTGGAAACTATGACTGAAATAAATTAGAAACTCATTTAAGTTTTCATATGTCTGTTGCATGCATTTATTTCTAAAATGAAAAACTTAAAGAACAGACTGGTTGCTTAACTACCAACTAAAACTTCTCCCAGTGATATGCTAAGGTATCTGGAATTGATTCATTTTTATCAGTAAAGGAGTGACGAAGATTATAACAATAAATATCGCTTGGATTAATCTCCAACTTTTTCTATAAGATCAAGTCATTTCTGATACAGCACTCCTTCAAAAGAGAAAATGGATTGTAAAGAGAATAGTAAAAGGAAAAAAAAATCAATCTTTGACTTCAGCAATCTAAATAAATGAAGCCTAAGTGAGTATATTTTTTAGATTCATACATTTCCTGCAAAAATAATTATAAAAACATTTTAGATAGATGCTTGGGATGAGGAAGGCTAGTCAATGGAATGGTCATGCAGTTGGAAACATGTTTTGGGGTTTGTTGACTTTTCAAATGGACAAAATTTCAAAATGTCATGCATGTCTGTTCTTCTAAACAAAAACTGGATGACCAAATAAAAAACAAGACAAGTGACCACTTCCAGTGGGTACAAAGCATTATCATTTCCCTGAGGTTTTATCAAGCAAATATGGCATTTTTGAAAGACACAAAGACTAACGTTGATGATTAAAACAAGCTTTGGATAAAATGAAAGAAATATGACAAGGAGAATGAAAAAGAACTTTTTGAATAATCCTAGCAAAGAAATAAGAATAATCTCTTTAAACAAATCTATTGTGCGATAAGAAGACCCTTTTTTTCTCTTACAGTCTCTGGATAATTAGAAAATTCAATTTTGTTTTTCTGATTGTATAACTGTTCTTACAAGAAAAGGTATATGCAAATTTCTAATTCAGCGTTGAACACATAGTTTAGTAAGTCTTAAAACTGCCCAATACTGTCTCAAGCTTACAGCATCCTAATAATGTTCAGCCTGAGGCAGATACTTAAGACAGAGATTACATAGCACCACATTGGGGGAGGGGGATTGGTGCTTCGAAATAATCCCAGATGTCCATACTTGGTGTCAGTGGAGAATTAATCACCAGTCCACAACGTTAATTACCACAAATCTAAGAAATATAACTTCTAGAAAGTCCTGATGACATTGTATTACTACTCTGGCAATAAGTAACATGAGAAGCATATGAACAATTCAAGGTGCTCAAATTGGATACATTCTCAATATTACATGATTTAGACTCCTAGACATGAATCAACTAACAGAAAAGTGGATCTGTTCTATCAGGTCATGTCAAAAGGTACAGAGGCAGATGATCTGAGCAGAACACTTCTGAAGGTTAAAAAAAAAAAATGATACTGAGACAAGTTATTTTTCAAAATATCTGTGGATGAGAGCAGACCAGAAACTGAACAAATGAGAAAGAGAATTCTGTTAAAGCAAAAACAAAACCAACAAAAACCTGTTGTCATGATGCAGAAAGATCCAGAAGAAACGTTTCTGCTACATACTAGTAGTATTAAAAATGTCACAAGAATTAAACAAATATGAAAAGATGGAAAGTAAGATCTAGAAGAAAGTCAACACGTGGAAATATTTGGAAAACCCAGAGGCTAGGGAGGACCTCAGGATTCTTTTAGCGCAGAGACGGTCATTTTAAGGATGGTGTTGACCAAGCAGTCTTCACTTTCATAAAAGTAGAACTTGACTGAATGAATTTAAATTACAGCAATTGTCTGGGGGAAAACATCCTATTCATGAAAGTGGAGGAACTCTGGAAAAGCCAGTACCAAAGCTCTACTCTTTCAGATCTTTAAAAGGGGCCCACAGTCAGCAGTCTCAGAGTGGATTAAACAAGACGCCAGAGGTCAGCAGGGCCAGGAATTCCACTCTCTTCCTCCCTCTGCAACATTGTTATGGGCCATTGTGCAAGCTAAGTTAGGTGGGAATTTGCAGAAGGAGAGATACCTACATCTTGAGGTTCAAAATAAATCATGCCCTGAAAACAAATGTTACTAGGTCTCTGATCATCTGGCATTCAAAGTGAAAACATCCTATTATTTGAAAGCAAGTACTTTATTCCCTGCTGTGTACAAAAGAATCTATGGGGCAGTGGAGGCCATTTCCAAATATCGATTATTTGTTTAAAAAGATAAGAACATTGAATAGACTTCAGTAAAACAAAGGAGTTCCAATTATTTTTTTCCTTATAGATGTACAAACTTCCTGCTTGCCTCTACTAAATAAAAGAACTGTGCCTTACAATGTTCTCAAATCACCAAACTGGTGACTGGGATGATCACAAACTTTCCATGAGCTCGCGCCTATTGTTTTAATTAGCTGAAAGAGTAAGCATCTCTTTCAAGGTCGAAATGCCCTTCTGTTTTGAATCAGCCTCTTTGAGGTCAAGTGATGGCTGGGAATCAAGACCGTCACTCCCGTAGGCGGCCAAATCCCACCCCTTTACCCTGGAAGCCCCTCTTTGGATTGGTTTCAAGGCTTAGTTTTAATTAGAAATCCAACAGCTTCAACTGGTAAGAGGATGCATGGAAAAGAAAGGAGAAAGTCACTTCTAGGTGAAATTGGAGGTGATGGTGGAATGGATCCCGAAGGTACAAGAGAAGGGAGAAAGTGAGTCTCAGTGGAAGGAAGGAAGGCCATAATGCTTGATTGCACATCACAGAAATGACAAGGCTGTCCTCAGGACCATGGTTGTGACTCACAGACTTCTGGTGGATTCGCAAGAGAACCCTTTTAGTACAGCGGTCGACTGTGGCAGCCCACTTCCTCTTTGCCTCCTCATCCTCCTCCAGCAAGCACCGCCTCAGGTCCTGCTTCTCAGCCTTGCTCAGGGTCCTGTCTGAGGCAGGACGCACTAGCTGGGTCAGGTTCAGGTGGCTGTAGAGACTCCGCTCCACCACGTAGGTGATATTGAACTCGCTGACCGAGGTGCGTCCGCGCACCCTCCTGCTGGGGAAGCCACAGCTGCCACCCCCTTTGGGTTTCTGGCGGAGCAGCTGCAGGTCACAGGTGGTGCTGTTCACGCCTTTTCTGGAAGGACGCTGGCAGAGAAAAGCTCTGGAACAGGAATAATTAGTATCCGTTTTCTTCAAGCGGATTTGCTTCCGGACACTCTGAACCTCCTCCAGTGACACCAGAAGGTGGTGCCTGCGACGGTGGTTGTCATAAAAGCAAATACCATCCGTACTTACCCCGTGGCTCAGGGACCCGAGACCCTTCTTCATCTCTCCCTCAGTGAGGGAGCGGGACACTTTCTGGGCCTTTTCTTCTTCCGGATAGGAGAAGAACGTCCCCATCTTCTTGGGGGGCTTAATCAGGCCCCGACTTTCTCCTTTGCTGAAGGTTTTGACCAACTTTCGGCCAGCTCCCCAGGCATCCAGGCTGCTGGAGGACGGAGACGTGGTAAGACAGTCTGAGTCATCTTCCAGAGGTTTCTCTGGAGACCCATCGAAGAAAAATGGCTTCTTGTGCACTCCAGAGTAAAGGGCAGACCTTTCATCCAGGACAGGTGAATTCTCCAACACATGCTCCTCCCCACCTGGAGGGGAAACAAGAAAGTGTCCTGTGAGCACACCTTTGCAACCTCTCCTACACCTTTCTTTACAGCCCCTGTCCTGCAAAAAATAAGCCACTTACAGAGAAACCACAGTGATAGCCCTCTCCTTATCATGACCTTCTTCATAAACCTGGCTCCCACTTTAACCATGTGCATAAAAATGGAAACACACACACACATACACACACATACAACTTGTGCAAATGTATGTTTTCCCACAAGCTCAAAGTTAAAAGGTTTTGGATGTGTTTCCTTCCCTTTCTCAAAATATCCTTATAGACCAAACACCTTCACAGACCTATTAAAAATGCCGTGTGTGAAACCTAAGCCAGTCCCTACAACAATACGCCTCAGCATTTCAAGATAATTACCTCCCTAGTTTGTAAGCGCAATCCATAGAATCAGAACCTTTCCCCCTCTGAAAGGCCATCCTTTAGGCTGGTCCTGGTGGCTTTTTATAGCTGGAGTGTGATGAATGCCACGTGGCTGACAGTGATTGTTTTATTGGTACCTATGTCATTTAAGTGATTAAATCTCCGAGGGAATTTGGGTGGGAAGAATACCATAAAGCGTTGTATCTTGCAAATGTGACTGATGAATGAGCTCCAGACCATATGCCAAGCATAAAAAGTTAGGGAACTTGGTGATCCCATCCACTTGGGCCCTGCCAGGAAGCAGCAAGGGCATTTGAGGGCCTTGACACGCAGGCAGCTTGAGAATGTCCCACTTGGTCTCAAGGATTCCAGCTCTTGAAGGTCTCACTGGAGCCAGGTGGCGAGCCAAGCCCTCTGGAGCCCAGTGGAAAGGTTTGGACTCGCTGGCAGGAAAACTGAGTTCTTTTCAGCATGTGTTATGTGAACAGATGTGAGAAAAGAAGTAGGTCAAACTGTGGGTGTAGTGATCCCAACTGGCTGTGTCCCTTTAATTACAGGGAAACTTTGAGCTCTGCAGCTTTCCACCCACTGCGTTGTGAAAAGGGGGGAAAAAAAAGTTCCTTGGAACAGAAGGATGGGACTAAATATACCAGCTGGGACGAGGGTGCCAGTGTGTGGTTAAATGTCAGCAATAAAGGAAGAGAAATGCTCAGTTCAGAGCGGGGAAGATGGCTGGAACGGTAGCAGTCCTTTAAAGTTCTGCAAATGGGCTCCTTTCCCATCTGATGGGAATGGCAGTTACACATATAAAGAAAAGGGGACTGCTGCTGCTATTAAATGCAACCCAAGATCGACTTTAATGTCCGGGAGATGGTAGTGGGGAGGGGAGGGGAAGGAAACAGAGAAGGTAATCCAAAACTATGTCCAGTCCAAAATCCACAGAAAAATTGTTCAGGGATCTTTTGGGAGAGTTTAAAAGAAACAGGGTCCATGGTTCTGAAAGGAATCTGCCAGCCCAGGGGCAGGGTACAAATATCAAAAATGTTTCCTGTTCCTTCCTCAGGACACTTGACTAATAAGGTGTGGGGACCAAGGAAGTAAAAATGGCAGCCTCTTCTGGATACAGTCCACGCCTCACTTCCAGAAAGCAATGGAGACTAGAATACAGGTACAGTGTGTGGCAGGGGCTGCCCAACAGTGGACTCCCCTATTAAAGCCAAATATGATCATAGTTCTATGTTCAGCTCAGGTGTCCATGAGGGTGTGCAAAGGCCAATAGCCATCCACGGTTCTGAGAGGGCTGAAGGACAGGTAGGTGTACCCTGGCTATTCTAAGGACCTACCACTCTGCAGTGGTCTGGACATTCTCTGGTCCCTGTGCTTAGGATTGTCATCAGAGATTCCAACACTCCACTGTCACATCTGAGTCGGGAGCCAGCTGATGCACACATGTCCATGACATATGTGACTCTGTGTTCTGGTTCTGAAATCGGCATCGGCTAAGGGGTTGGGAAGGAAATATGGCAAATGCTTCCCAGTGGTCACATCTGCCTGTGCCGAGGGCAGGCCTTCTGTCTGGGCCCGACTGGCAGCCTGCAATCCCAGTCTTGACCTAGATCCCTTGGTTTGAAAGCATCACTCCTCCCATCTTTCCCCGACTTAAAAGTACAACTGGCCTGGCTCGGTGGCTCAGTCTGTCATCCCAGCACTTTGGGAGGCCAAGGCGAGTGGATTGCCTGAGCCTGCGGGTGCGAGACTAGCCTGGACAACTTGGCAAGACCTCGTCTCTACAATAAAATAAGAAATTAGCTGGGCATGGTAGTACACGTCTGTAGTTCCGGCTACTTGGAAAGCTGAGGCAGAAGGATCGCTGGAGCCCAGCAGGTTGATGCTGGGGTGGCTGTGAGCATGCCACTGCACTCCAGCCTGGGTGATGGAGTGAATCTCCAACTCAAAAAATAAAAAAGTACAGCCATCCTACTAGATAAATTACAATCCAGAGGGGCTCACTCCATCATATGTGTGTGATCTGTTTCACATGATGGCCATTGCCTACTGTATTCAACTCAGATTAAGATACCACAGGAGGCGGTCATGGTGCCCCATGCCTATAATCCCAGCACTTTGGGAGGCCAGGACTGGAGGAGTGCTTGAACCCAGGAGTCTGAGACCAGCCTGTACAAAACAGTAAAACTTCATCTCTACAAAAAACTCAAAAACTTAGCCGGGCATGGTGGCATACACCTGTAATCCCAGCTACTCGGGAGGCTGAGGTGGAAAGATCACCTGAACCTGGGAGGTCGAGGCTGCAGTAGGTTATGATTGGGTCATTTCACTCAAGCCTGGTTGACAGAGTAAGACCTTGATTCAAACAAAAAACAAAACAAAACAAAAACAAAGGAAAGGTGATTTTGGCAGGAGGAGGGAGGTATGATATGGGCTGACTTGATGCCAAGAACATAGATTTATGTGCTAGATTCCAGCCCTGCCTCTGCCACTCACCAAGCTCCTGGGATCTTGGGCAATTTGCTTTCTCCCTCTGAGCCTCTGTTTCCTTGTCTGTAATAATGCCTACTATCTTTATACAACATCCCTGACAAGACTACCATGAGGACAACAATACATAAAAAGTGGTATGTAGAAACTGAAAAGCTCTGCACAAAAGCTGGTAATTTATTACCAGGTACAGTTGAGCTGGAACAAGCAAGGGAGGAAGGGTGTCCGTTCTGGGGAAAACCTACAAAAAGGGCAGATGAAAGGCACCGATGTGCCCTAAAATATTAAATATAGTCCAGGGTCATCCGTGCCAGGATATGAACTTGAAACCCAGAAGAACCAGAATCTCCTGGCCTTCCCAGAGCTCCAGAGCTGGTGGGGAAGGGTTGACACAGAAGCAGAGTGGGAACAGAGGCTGCTGTATGGGAGAGCAGACCGCCTGGCCGGGAGTCAATGGTTCAACCTCTTTGAGTACCAGTGTCCTCATCTGCAAAATGAGAACGATGCCCGCCTGCCTCTGGTGGCCGTTCTGAGAATGGCATGTGGCAAGGGAACATAAGTGTTAGGGGACAGATGTGTGTGGCACATGGAAAGCTCTCCATGAATACTGGCACAGGCATGCAGGAAGTCAAAGAACTGACTGAGGGTGAGGGCAGGGCAGTGGGTTATTGGGGGCAGGACCCCTTCTTGCTTTGTAGGAGGGTCCAAGGTAGCCTCACCCACGTACCAGTGAGGAGGCTCTGAGAGTTTTAAATTGTGAAGGGGCTGGAGGGAGTTTCAGTCCAGCAGGGCGTGGGGGAGTCGGTCAGAGCAAGTACCCTGAGGCACACGCACTGGGGGCCACTCCTGGGAACACAGGCAAGCCTTGCCAATGACACTTCAGTTCCCCAACGCCTCAGGCACCAGAGTGTAACTTAGGATTCAAGCTCACTAAGCCCATCTTCCATCTGTGAAGTCTAATTCATGCCCAGACGAATTAAAGTTCAGAGCCAGAAGTCCATACGGTTATTTCTTTTTACTCCAGAGTTACCTCTTTGGTACTTTCCCTTATTTTCAACGATGCCTCTCAGAGATAGTTGGATTGATTTATTCTGACATAAATATGCAAATGAGAATGTCTGTATTTTTCAATACGCTATTCTAGTGGAAAGGCTGCCCTAATGCACGTGACTACCATGTGTGAAGGGTCCACTAGGTGACATGCCCGGTACGAGGCACTTTCCCCATTTTACCTCATTTATGGACAAGACCCACCCATCTATTTATTATATTTGAGATTTGATTTTGGCAAGTGTTTGTGAGGTTTGCTAGAAAATATGCCCTCAGGGTTGAATGTTGGCAATGCCATATTGTTCTCCCTCACTGAAGCAACAGAGATCTGTGTGTGATTTCAGTAATAGCTACCACAGGGTATATTCCATACTGTGGAAACCATGACTGGCAGGCAGGTATTAAAACATCCCAATGTAAAATCAGCATTGCATCCAAATGTAAACAGAATTCCCATGCAAAAAGATACCCAAGCAAAGCCTAGAATAAAGATAACCTAGGTTTATGAAATTGACTGTAGGCTGATTCCTCTCTCCCCCTCCCCTTTTCCCTTCTCTTCTAGCCCCCACTGTCCCTCAATAACTTCTTTACCTTCAATATTATTCTAGGGGATTTAATCTGATAAATAACAACAAACAAAAATAAACAGCAGTAATAATAACAAGAAATTCTTATCTTTGCAAATAAGATGGGTAATTCATTTCCCTACATGGCTTGATTTTACTTATGTACAACAAAAAAGGCCTCTGCAAAGATAATTTTTAAATTACATGTCAAAATTTTGAAACCCCTCACAATGTAGATGTGACAATTTAACAAACAATGTATGTGTATTTTTTTCTTAAAGGTATACACTTTCCAGTATTTTTTTCCAATTAACATCATTTTCCAAACAGGAAAATCTTATTCATTTATTTTATCTTTTTTGAGAGAATTTACAGACTGCTACAGATATACATTACTAACAGATGAAAAATAAGATCGAGATTTAAACTGTCAAAATTACACTTCAAAGGTTAATTACTCATTTCAGTAAATCCAAGCTGATGTCTCTTTTGGCATTACAGTTTCACCCAGCAATAGAGCTCTTACAGATTCCCTTAGAATTGAAGGTCCTGAAAGCCCCATTTGAACTGAGGCTTGGGACTGTATACAGGAAGAACAAATCATCCCTGAGACATCTGAAGGCACATTAAGTGTCTTGATTGTCAGAAGTTTGTTCAAGATATCTATATGTCAGTTTGAACTTATTTCACTGAGCAAGAATTTAGAATTCAGAGGCTGGGGCTTATGCTAAGAAGACATTGCAATACAGAGTTTATGTTAAATGGTATCAGTTCACAATTAAAGCTGTACACACCTTGCGAAGGTTTCCTTGTCATATACTAGCCATTTCCCATCTTGATTACATTCAAGTTACTAATCACCCACAATGCCTGACGCCAGGATCCTTCGTTCTATAACATGCAAACATGCAGACACTCTCCTGCCAGCCTCAGCCAGAATTCAATCCATTTTCCACTTGGAATCATTTTCTTTTTCTATTGCAAAACTGACCCCAAATGATTTCCTTTGTGGAGTATGCCTTTTTTTTTTCTTTTTTTACCTTCGGTGCTGGGTTTTTTCATTTCTTCCACTCTAATTAGTTTCTTTCTGACTCTGCGAGTGGAGTTTACCAGCTTGTGTAACCTCTTAAACTTCACCGACTCCTCCGTCTCATCATCCGATTGTTCTCTTGACTGGCAAGGAAATAAAGGAAAAGTTAATCAGATAATTGCTCCAGAGTATGCCCTTGAAGCCGGATGCAGCTGGCCTTTGCCACCCGGCTGAGCTCTGGCAACTCTGTCACGGAACTGGGTTGGGGGCACCAACACATGTGCCCAGTGGGTTTACAAAGTGCCACATACCATCTTACATTCTAATTCAGTGTAGAAGCAGGTCCTAGGCACTGAAACACACATCCTTGCCCTTGACTGGCATGTGGGGCATCAGTCTTAACTACTTCCCTGTCCCCTATCAGGAGGACTCTGGCAGGACTCTCTCCCCAAGGCTGGCCCTGTAATTCCAGCTATGCTGCTGTGGTTTGGGCCAGCCTCTCAGCTGTCTGGCCCATCAGGACTCACTGTTGAACATGGTCATCAAACTACTTCTCCAAACCAAAATTCTGTTGACTTTTTCCAGTCCTTCCCCCGAAAATCAAAAACAGCAGGGCAGGAAAGGGGAAGAGAAGCGAGAAGCCTTCTTCTGCCCCATTGGTTGGGACTGTCTGCCACATCACAGCCAGCCCTTCTACCGCTCCCAGCTCCTTCTGAGGGCTCGCAAGGCAAGTGTGAGGACAGACCCCACATTCCTCCAAGAGACACAAGGGAAAAAGCTGACCTTTCAGTCATACAGTACAGTCCATATTCCCCAGCAGACCATTTCGCTGTGCAGAGATTCAGTACGCTCAGGCCCAGCTGTTTTCCCTCAAGTATCAAACATTACTTGAGGAAAAATTCTCTCTCTGCAGCAGTGACCCAGGCTAAAAACAATCCTTTCCTTGTGAACAAAACGAGGGTTTCGTTTCCAAGTCAGTTCCAACACTCAATATGCAGCTTCCTCTGAGGTATCTGTTCAAAATGTGAAACAGCAAAAGAAGTCTCCAACTAAATGAGCGTGTGCACGGTTCGGGTGCTTGGGCATGCCTGGGAGCTCGTGGCCTCGGGGCTCCCAGCGTGGAGGGTGAGCAATTCCAGCCCATGCTGCACGTCCTGACAATGACCTTCTCTCCATTTCCTCAACCCCAGTGCACGAAAGAGTAGCGAGAGAAATGCCTCGGACGAAAACACAAAGCAAAGAGAAGCCACGTCTCTGAACACCAGTTTGAAACTTCTTTCCCAAGAAAATGTCCCATCAATCTCAATTTAATAGACAATAAAAGGTAAGCAAGAGTTTAGCAGAGAACAGTTCAAGAGATGAAAAGGGAGAGATGACATGAATTACTTAGGCATAAAAATGGTACACGTTGTAAGCCTAAAAATCTTTTCTTAGCGCTATGGCACAATGTCAGGCATAAAAACAACTGATTTCCTGGCCTCTGTCCTTACCCTGGGGCTCACAGCAAGGAGTCATTGTACTTCTTGTTTGACTATCAGCAACCATTCGCTCACTGACGATTAATTATTATAAACCTATCAGCTTGGCATGGTGGCTCATGCCTGTGTTCCCAGCACTTTGGAAGGTGAAGTGGGAGGAATGCTTGAGTCCAAGAGTTTGAGACTTTGTCTCTACAAAAAAAAATTTAAAAATTAGCTGGGTGTGGTGGCGCACACTGGTAGACCCAGCTACTCTTGAGACTGGGGCCGAAGGATCACCTGAGCCCAGGAGGTTAAGGCTAGAGTGAGCCAAGGGCATGCCACTGCACTCCAGCCTGGGCTACAGCCTGAGACTCTGACTTATAAATAAACAAATCTAGCCGGGCTCGGTGGCTCAGCCTGTAACTCCGTGCCTTTGGGAGGCTGAGGTGAGTGGATTGCCTGAGCCCGCTGGTTCGAGACCCGCCTGGGCAGCGAGACCTCATCTCTACAATAAATCAAAAAATCAGCCGGGCGTGGTAGTGCATGCCTGTAATTCTGGCTACTTGGAAGGCTGAGGCGGAAGGATCGCCGGAGCCCAGCAGGTCGAGGCTGTGGTGGCCGGGAGCAGCCACTGCACTCCAGGCTGGAAATAAATAAAATAAATCTATAATCAGTTTGTCATCAGAAGTATTTTTCGGTCTTCTCTTCTGTGAAGTGTATTGATAACTATGTCCAATTTCTCCAAAAGTCCTACCTAGTTAAGACATTGTATACAGCCAAGCATGGTCTCTCATGCCTGTAATCCCAGCACTTGGGGAAATGCCTGAGTCTAGGGGTTCGAGACCAGTCTGGGCAACTTGGCAAGATCCCGTCTCTACAATAAGTCAAAAAATTAGCTAGGCATAGTGGCATGCGCCTGTAGTTCCAGCTAATTGAGAGGCTGAGGCGGAAGGATCACCTGAGCCCAGTGGCCGAGGCTGCAGTGGCAATGAGTTTGCCACTGCACTCCAGCCTGGGTGACAGAGTGAGACTCCAACTGAAAAAAGAAAAAACGTTGCTGCATACGGATGTCAGTATTAAAGTTAACTACCATTTACCTGGTAACGAAGAATAGAATTTGGACTCTCAGGTAATGGCAAAGGGAGATTACACTGGATGTTGGCGATTAACCTTAGTGCATCTGGCCCAAAACTTAAAATGTAAAAAAAGTACAATAAGATACTAAGGATAGATCCTGTACTGTCTGATTTAAATTTCATTTTTACTTGGATGAATTGTTGACATGTGATGAGATGGCTGAAGTGGTCAGCAAGAGGAATGAGAATGTGGTTAACCCTCATCCTGGGTAATCAGCACCTGAAGAACCCACAGTGCATGGAGTTACATGTAAATATTTAAAAACATTCTGCCCTCTGCAATGCCTTAAAAACATTGCTCAAAAGCCGAGCAATTCTAACGGAAGAAGAATCACCATTATCATAGAAAGTATCTGTACCTATCAGTGGGACAAATCTGGAGTGTGTTTCTAACCCTCACATTAAAAAAAAAATATATTAAAATCAGGTAAAAATAAAAGAAGTATGGATTATAATTAAGATAGAGGAAGCTACTGGAAGATCATCAAGATAAAGGAAATTGTTGGTTGTTGTGATAGTAGGGGGTATGTGTGTAGGGGAACAGGAAGAAGTAAAAAGAGAAAGGGAATATAGGAAGAGATAATACAAAAATCTTAGTCCACAAAGACACAACTCATATGTAGGAAAGGAGCATCAGAGTGAGTTTTCAAAGGAGAAATGAAACCAGTTAAGCCAGGATAACAGATTCAAAGGCAATGCCCCCTTTCCTCTGCCCAGATTAATTGTGGTAAAAAAGAACATATTCCAGGTACTTATTTGTTTTCACATGTTCCATCTATTTTTTTTAAAAACATGAACTCTTTAGAACTTTGAACTAATGGCAATCACAAAATATGGCAACGAGAAACTCCCTTTTGCATGATCATGTTTTGGACAGTAGACAAAATAGATGCAGCACAATTTACATGAAGAAAAAGTAAGATAATATCTAAGTCATTCAAGAAGTGTGAGTGTGTGTGAGAGAGAAATAGAAAATTTCCTCTTCCGTTAACCTAGAAGTTACTTGAGTTCAACAGTGTATCCCAAGGATGCTTTTTATTGATGGAGAGGTGTTGACTTTTCACTTCCTTCTAAGTCCAGAGGAAAAAAAGAGTTGTGAAATATTTGCCTTTAAAAAATTCTCTCCAGCTGTTTTAACACAAAAGCGCTGTAAAAGCCTTGTTTCTTCTAAACTGCAGAGTAAAGCTTAAAGTCCTTATGTCAGTTTCTCTTCTTAAATAAGTATGTGCCACTTCCCAAATGCTGAAAATAACATAGCGTGTCTTTTTACTCAGGAAATACACCACCAGGGATGGGGATTTGAATTTTCTTTTTTAAATTTAGAAACACACACACACACAACTTTTAAAATAAAATATTATATATATTTTTAAATAAATCTTACTAGCTGAAAGAACTCTGTAGACGACAAAGGAAATTGCATTATACATAAAATAGATGACTGATTCTAAGAAATAGGTTCAGAACTAATATAGAATGGGTTTTAAATAAACTAAAGTGAAAAATAACAGTGTGTTCACACACATTCAAACACGAGTTGGTGGTGCAGTCTCCCCACTCCCTGTCCCGCCCTGGGTCAGATATGAAGCTAAACTTTAAATCTTCTGAATGAGAAGGTGAACTCAATCATGTGGATGACATCCCCCGTTCCAAATCTTCAAGAGAAAAGGGCAACTTATCCCACCAAAAGGATGTGGAAAAGTAGATTTATAATACGGTAAACAGAAACATTTGATATTCAACCTCTCTTTTGCAGATTTTTCCAGCAGAAAGCCCATATGGCACAACTTTTAATTACTTTGGCTAATGCTATATGTAGTAATTCTGCGGTGAATGCTTAAGTGTTTCATTTCTGGTTTCCATAGCAACATTACATCAGATTGCAGACAGCTGGCTCCACAGTTTTAAACCATAACAAATTGACCAAGCCAAGGCACAAAACTATAGCTGCTTTAAAGAGATAGTCCACCATTCAGCAGCCAGGGTGCTGAAGGAGAAACCTACAGGGCCCGCTTGGCACGCGGAGGAGGGTGGAGCCTCCTTCCTTCCCAGTTTTTGGAACAAGTGCATCCTTGACACATCTGCAATGTTCTAATAGGAAAGACATGGAGCCAGCGTGGAGAACTTTTTATAACACAGCTACATGCAGGATGATCAGGAAAAAAAAGGAAGAAAATGAATAGCATCTGTAAGTACAAACATTTGTGTGCTGGAGCTCACTAAAAGCACACCCTCCCTGCTCCACGTAAGCCTGTCATACTGCTGGTTGGCAACAGATACTTCACTGGACCCTGTAGCAAACAGTTCTTGCAACTATGATGTGCAGAGCAAATGCTTTCCAAAAGTCATATGGCACAGTTGTGCAGGCACAGTGGTGATGTGTTGTATTAAAGGCTAAAGCATACTTGCAAGGAGTGACTAGACCTTTTGGGGAGCACTTGAGATCACGCTGAGCACAGGATTACAACTGTGCCCTTTGCAGAAACACTCTCACTCAGTTTGTTTCCAGAACTCCAAACATACAACATGCTGTCACAATTAACACCC